CAGGTTTGGATAAGCAAAATACACGTTGTGACTGTGTGATTCGAAACCAATCTCCTCAGGTCAACATTGCATGTTTCAGACCGACAACACTTCATTAAACAGAGTTTAGATACAAGCTGCTAAGTGCCAAAAGGTACATTAAACCATATTTAGAAACCATATCATTTGTTTAAATACTAAATAGGTCGAGACTTATGCATGGAAAGCGCTGATCTTAAAAACCTTTTAATTTAAACTGCTTAATTCGTGTCTCATTTTTTGTGATTTTTCAAGGGCCGAGAACAGATTTTTTTTGGTTTTAATAGGTAACAGCTTCTTTGTGAGATATCTAACATAGAAAAACTTTATCCGGCGGTTTATTTAAAGTACGGATAAATGATTAAAAAAGGGAATTTACAAAGTTCCAAGCTCTGATTAAGATATAAAATGCATTTCTTTTTGCAGATTTTTAACACAAAAGGGATTGAGTGTGATAGCGGTGAAAGGCGAGTATTCGGTAACGGGGTTTCGGTAACAAAAATTTGGTAACAATTTGGAAATAATAATCTGGTAAGTTCGGGCATTTGATAATTTGGTAACGACAATTTGGAAATAATAATCTGGTAAGTTCGGGCATGTGATAATTTGGTAACGACAATCTGGTAACTACACAAAAGTGAAACATTGGTAACAAAAATTTTGTAAGAACACAAATGTGACAATTCGGAAGGCTCAAAAATATTTTAGATTTAAAACTAGTTTATATTGGTATTCCTGGTGTGGTATATTAGCTAGGTTAGAGCCTGCAGGTAGAGGCTGTAGTACCACTGACTGTCCGGCAGTTGAGGAACCCTGTATCCGTATGTATATTTAGCAACAAATAAAAAAATAAAAAAAAATACCATTGATTGGAGTTGACTTTACCAGCATACAGACCCAATGTGTAGCTATTTTGAATTTAAAATCAGCCCCCCCCCCCTACTACCAAGAAAAGAAGGGAAATGATCTGGGGGGGGGGGGGGAAAAAAAAGTCGGACATTAAAAGGCAAGTTTTTGTATCCTTTTCTATACTTTTTACCCCAACATATCTAACTTCTGATAGGAAAAGAGAGGGGGATGACTTTACAAGAAAATATAATTATCCGCCCATGGAATCAAGCACGAAAGTGTCATAAATTCATTTCAAAGATATCCGTTTGAAAACTATACATTCCCCCCACCCATAATTAAAGAAACATAAAACCTTGATATAAGAACGCAAATATTTAAAATAGTTTACGCAAAGCGTCAACGTCATTCACTCTGTCTATTCCTAAGGTACAAATTCTGGCGCTAAATCTCAATTCATTGAAATCTGACGCATTTAGAACCACGACAATTCTTCACATAAAAGCGTCACTTGTATGTTTTGAAACTGGTTTTGGAGGTGAATGGTGTGGAAGTGTTCTTAGTATACTGGGTCTACATCCAACACATGGATTTACGCAGGGGTCTAGTCTACGCAGGGATTTAGGGGGGAATAGGAGGGGAATAGGAGGGGATTACTCTTAACCAAAAGTAAATAAAATATCTGAAAATACGCGCATTTTTTATAATAAATCAAAATTAGCCATACCTAATATTTTTCGTTCCCTAGTCCCCCTAAATTAGTCAGATAATGAACCCCAGAAATGTATTGCGTCCGTGTTTAATAAAGTACGCAAGTCAGCGTAAAAAATGTTGATTTACGTAAATGTAATGAAAAAAAAACAACAAAAGGAAACAGGCTTAAAATGAAAATTAACCAAAGAAATACATTTTTTGAAGCAGTAAATGGCTCCAGGGAAATATGCGTAATATGCGTAGATTTGATTGTGCCTATCATAAAATTGATAACTGTTCAGGCCCAGACAAACTGCAGGATGCGTAAAATGCTAACAGACGCCTTCAGACTTCAACTCAAATACTAATTGGCGGTAAAAAAATGAACTAGTTATCCTTTTATAGCTGTGCATTGAAATCTTTTGAAGCTGTAAAATTGTTTCATCGCGTTAAAAATAAATATTAATACTAATTTTGACAACAACAAATTTAACCAGAAAAGATGCTTATTTAACCAAAAATTATTCTTAAATGCGCAAGCAAACCAAAAATTGTAAAAAATGCATCTATTTGACCAAAACAAGAAAGACTTTTATTATAGCTAACCCTACATTCTAAGAAACCAGAAACGGCGAGTTTTATACTAACAACTTTTTGGACGAATCTTATTTTCAAACTTTTTTTTAAAATTTTATTATTTAAGAAATATTAGTCAATCTCTATTTTTTACATTCTTTTTGCTTCAACTGACACTTTTTATTAGAGCCTCCTTTTTTGTTTTAAAATTTTAAGACACAATAAAAAACAAATTCTGATCATTTCTTATTTTTTTCTTTTCAAAAATATTTCAATAATTTTTAAGAAAATAAAATATAAAATAAGAAAACGTTTAAAAGAATGTATGACGAAAAAGTCTATAAAAAGTTAAATCCGATGGCTACAACTTACACATTTCTAGGGCTTCCATTCAATGAGTAAATTATACATTAACTTTCGTTTTACAATTTTTTAGATTTTACTCAACAGATAAATCATAAGAAACTTTCTTTATAATTAACTAACACTAAAATTCACTGGCTGCCGATTAGTGTTTTTTTGAAAACTAGGCTTTTATCTATTTAAATTGTGAACATGTTCTTTTTGTTTACATTTTATAACAAAGAAAAAAATTTTGCGGATTTTTAAAAAAAAATTCGCGGATTTTCAAGAATTAAATTTTTTTTACAAAATTAAAAACCTTTAAAACACATTTTTTTATCATTCATAAACCTTCCCTGTGGTCACGTGATGTCCCACAAAAAATTTGGGCCCGATCGGTTAAGCCGTTTTGACGTTTATTGGATACAAACAATCAGTTAGACAAGCCAAATTTATATATAGAAGTTAAAATCTAAACGTATCTGAAAGGTACAAATAGAAATATTTCAGTGACTGTAATCTGAGAAGTTTAAAGCATGTTCAGAGGAACTTCATGAATTTGTTTCTATTTAGTATTTACACTTCATAGACAAACATAGATCTTGGAAAATCAGAGATTTATGCATTTTTGGTTGAGTTATACTTTTAATATTACTGAGAAATAGAAAGATTTTTTATAAAGTTCAAACTAAAGGTTAACTCCAAATAATACCTCTTCCCCTCGTACCTATCAAAGCCCCAACATTGTCCCGCCCCAACAAAATGATGATAAGTAAGGATAAAGATAGAAACGGGGCCGAAATAAGTCAAGGTCAATTTGGAGCGAGACAACATCATCATTTAATTAAATGCATGTGTGTGGGGGGAGGGCGGGGGTACTGAAATGAAGGATAAAGAGTTTTAAGAATAAATGTCTGTTAAAGATCTAAATCATCACAGAATCATAAGTCATATTTTTGCAACAAAAATTAGCAACAAACCATTAGGAAAAAATATGGCATTGATCAGTTAACACTGTATTTCTGGTATTGATCAGTATTCATTGAATTGATCAGTTAACACTATATTTCTGGTATTGATCAGTTAACACTGTATTCATTGAATTGATCAGTTAACACTGTTTTCCAATTATTGATCAGTTGACACTGTATTCCAGTTATTGATCTGTTAACACTGTATCCCGGGTTTTTATCAGTTTACAATGTTTATCAGGTATTGATCAGTTAACACTGTATTCCAGCTATTGATCAGTTAACACTGTATTCCAGTAATTGATCTGTTAACACTGTATCCCGGGTTTTTATCAGTTTACAATGTTTATCAGGTATTTATCAGTTAACACTGTATTCCAGGTATTGATCAGTTAACACTGTATTCCAGGTATTGATCAGTTGACACTGTATTCCAGGTATTGATCAGTTGACACTGTATTCCAGGTATTGATCTGTTAACAATGTTTTTATCAGGTATTGATCAGTTAACAATGTATATCAGGTTTTGATCAGTTAACATTATTTAAAACAGTTAATACGAGCATTTAATGTCTTTTTACTAAAGACATATACTCAATAAATTTATTAGTCAACGCATGTTTTTCATGCATTCACTCTTTTCCTTCAATTTTAGTAATCTGGCCTGGGCTTCAAAGCCGGCAACTGTCAGGAAGGCGAGGTCGGGGGGAGTGGAGGGGGGGGGTAATAGAAGTTGAATATTTTTTTCAAAGGTTTGACCTACTTGGGAGAATCTAAGAAAGGATTGAAAGCAAGGTAAACAATTGGCCAGGATAACTCAAAATTCCGATTAAAAGATAAGCTCTTCGTATCTGGTATTGGCCATAGAAAAAACTAAAAATCGTTAAAATAAATATATATCAATGAATACAAAAATTATATAATTTTAGTTTTTAGTTTTAAAAAAACCTAAAATTCATGAATCAATGTAAAGGGGTAAGTACGACACCTAAAAAATAATAATTGCTAGAAAAAATATGCATTTTCTATGTAAACATAAGAAGTCCATAAATAAATATAATTCAACATAAAGTAACGACATATTAGAGAGTTTAAAAAAAATTACGAATCGAAGACAAATCAAAGAAGTAAAGTCAAAATATATACAAAGATGAAGAGTGCTGAAAAACAAACTAATTAACATCTTCAATACAACAACAAAAAACAGAAAACCTATAAAACACTAATTTAAAAAATTGGATATGAACGAATTAAAATCTAGTAGTCCAATTTGTCCAATACTACGACAAGCCAGGGTTGCAAACTAAAAAGAACTGCAGATAGACAGACAGATTTCTACTAGTTGCAGTATACAGATGAACTACTTGCAAAAACCAGACAAACAAATTATTTTTAATGATGCAGATTTATATTTGAGGCGAGAAATCATTAACCTTATTCAAGAACAAGTAGACAAGTAAACAAATAATCAAGAACATCTATTTTATATAATCCCCCCCCTCAATTTTTTCAGCATTAATAACATCTAACAATTAGTGCTCGCAATAAACATTACTCAAATACTAGAGAAAATAATGATTTTTCAACAAAATTATGGAATTTTCAACCAATCGTTGGTAAGAGAAAAATGAAAGAACATACATTCATATTTGATAAATATATATTCCTGCTGTTGCTGCTGTTGTTGTTGCTGCTGCTGCTGTTGCTGTTGTTGTTGTTGCTGTTGTTGCTGCTGTTGCTGTTGCTGTTGCTGTTGCTGCTGCTGCTGTTGTTGTTGTTGTTGTTGTTGTTGTTGTTGTTGTTGTTGCTGTTGCTGTTGCTGCTGCTGCTGTTGCTGTTGACCTGAGGACTGAAAAGGAGCCAAGGATACCTAGAAAATCATTGGTCAACAAATCAATTTTGTAACACGAGTCATTTTTTTTTTTAATAAATAATTAAGCAATAGAAATAGTTCAGCAGATCAACAATTTGCTATCAAAGCTGAAACAGTATTTATATTTAACAAAACAAAAGCTACATTTTTTAATTCAAATACGAAGTATGCAAACTAAGCTTTAACATGTCAATGTCAATTAAACATTTTTTAGTTACGCAAATTCCCTTTCTTTTTAAATTAGCTTTTATATCGGAGGGCCCGGTTGCTTTCATTGCTAGTTATATTTTTATTATCTTCTGGGTTTTAATAAGACCTTGAATTACACTGAACAGATGAAAGATAAGCAATCTGATAAATTCCTGTTTATTCAATTATCAAATTAAACTGGGAGTTTGTTCTTTAATAGATCAAGTTTTATGTTTACTTTAATTAATTTTATCGTGAAGTACAAACATTTCTGAACTCATTTTTACTTCTTGTTGTCTTCCTATTTTTTGTATTTATAGTTTTTTCTTTTCCTCGTTCTTTCGATTTTTAAAATTAAAAAATGTTTATCTTTTCTCCCTTCCCTCTTTATTCAAGGGTGTATATTTTCTAATAATATCATTGCCCTCTCCCTTTGGAAAAAAAAAATTTCCCAAAAAGTTATTCCTGGGGGTTTTATTTGCCGAATTGGGGTTAAAAGTATCTAAAACCTTGCTTTTTGAAGTCCAATTTTTCATTTATTTTCCCTAGCTCATCAAAAATCATCCCCCAAACTTAAAAAATTCTAGAATTTTTTCAAAAAAAATTTTTCCTGCGTTGCGCCAAATAACGTAAATAAAACAAATATTCCCCCTCCCCTCAATCTAACAATTTACCCAGTGGAATGATATGAAAAAAATCATCTTAAATAACCGCTCAGCTATCATCGCAAATTAAACATTACTGGTAAAGTTGACTTAAGACACACACAAGGATAACTTCAAAGGTTTGCATGACAGTTATCACATTCAAATATTTACTTTTGGCTTCTATATCAGTATAATAATGAATGATGCGTTTGTTCAAGTATCAAAGTATAAAATACATCGGAAAAGTGGTAGAATTTGTTTTATACATGATTCTTATGATTATTAAAATGATTTTAACCACAAAAATAAGTGACATAATGCATAATAGGAATGAAGCATAAAAGAGATTAAAAAAATATTTAATCAAATCAATGCAGGAAAATCTAAATCAACAGGGGAGAAATAATTCTAATTATAAGTTATTACAGTTGTATTTTTTCTTCTGATCTCTGAAATAGGTGTAAACAATATTTACCTGAGCAAGTTGACCGTCTGGAAGCCGAATAACCTGGCCGATCATCTGGGTCAAACCGTGCGGAGATTGGACCTAAAGGGTGTTAAAAACATAAATTAGAAAGGAGTTAAGATTCTGTAGAATCGAGAAAAGAAATAGAAATACATGGCAAAATAATTTGTTCACAACATTTAACATCGATTTATACTAATCGATCTTTTGATGAGCTTTTCAAATCAAATAGTGATAGGATGTCGTTTTAACAAATGTAAATTCTATTCTTAAGTTTGTTGAATAATTTCCATTGATAAATTAAAATGTTTAAAGATATGGCAACCTAAAATAACTAGAAAAAAAACGTAAGAAAATCGTACTTTTTATCGATGCAAATCTTAAAACTGCTTGAACCAAACTATATAAAAATAGTACAAGAAAGAAGAATAAAAAGCGAGAAAAAACTTGCGAGATGATGTTAATTGTTTTGTAAACACGAAAATTTTCCAGAAAACGGAGATTTAGTGGTACCGTTTGCAATCCCAGTTCTATAAATTAAGATTCAATAACAACTCTGTCTACAGCCCCTTAACAGTAATTGAGAAAGATTTTCTGGTAATGTATAGGGTACCTGGGATTGAGGAGCTACAGCATGATTTTGCTGAGGAGTGGATGTGGACAAGGATAAAGAGTGCGGAACTGTCGTGTACGAGGTTCCAGTCGTGTACCCGCCTCGTCCTGCGTCAGGAGGTACACTACTCCCTCCTCGACGCTGGGCCTGTTTACCCCCCTCCATCTCCCTCTCCTCGGAGACGGAGGAGGAGAAGCTGTTGGCTTCCAGGGTTCGCGGGTTCGGGCTCGTTGTACCAGGCCTATCACGCCCAGCCGCAGTTACCGTTCGGGTACTCGAGGCACCGGTTTTTGCTGATTTTTCACTTTCCGTAGTTTTTTCCTTGGCCGCAGGTTTATCCACGAAATCAAAACACGTCCATCGACCACGTTTTAGCGGTTCTGTCGTTTCAACTTTAACAATTTTAAATCTATTTCTGAAATCTTGTTGGCTAGGTTGCCCAGTAACTGGAACTTCACTGAAATAAAAGAGGAAATGATAGGTAGATATGACGGTAAAACTTGATTATGAGAAAACTGCGGTGGGTGCTAAACTAGAGTAAAATATGATCAAACAGAATCAGCTGTATAACATACAGAGACTTTACAGTCCCGGATAATTCCATACTTAAAACAAGCAGGTAGCTAGGTAGGTTAGGAGAGAGGTATACAATCTATATATAAATATATTTGACTCCTCCAATCATGAGAATAATTATTTAACATACAATAAGAGACTAAGAGGGAATTAATCAGGTTTAAACCGGAGCGGAGACAGGGAACAATATTTCAGGAACTTCTACTTTGTCCCGGCATTTCAACGGTTTCTGATTCAAACCCCGCGCACGGAAAATGCACATTAATCTTTGCCTACTTAATGTATTTGTAAAGTACACGTATAAATTAACATTTGAATTGTACATTTGAATAAAAAACATTAACGGATTCCGATTAAAATTTTGTTTTATATGAAGAAAATATGTATATTTTATGGGTTTTTCAATGCTTTTTAAAGGAATCTTTAATTACAAGCGGAGGATTAAATGATGTAATCAAGAAAGTACAAGGAGATTATTTTAAGAGGAGGAAAGGTGAAGGAAATGAAGGGATATAACTCCCTTGCTCTCTAAATTTATTACTAATCGAGTATCAATAGTATTGTCTCTATTTTCTATTGTGCTATTATAACTTTAACAAATATACTTTTTTTTGGAACTTTTGGAACTTGTCGTGTTCTATGCAGACACATAATAAATGTACTTTTAAAATTAGTATTAATTTGAGCTCTAGCTCTAGCTCTAGTCTCAATTGAATACCGGTATTGATGTCTCTATTGTACTCTATGAAATGAAGACTAGTAATGATGTCTCTATTGTACTCTATGAATTGAATACTGGTATTGATGTCTCTATTGTACTCTATGAATTAAATACTGGTATTGTTGTCTCTATAGTACTTTATGAAATGAATAATGGTATTGATGTCTCTATTGTACTCTATAAATTAAATACTGGTATTGATGTCTCTATTGTACTCAATGAAATGAAGACTAGTAATAATGTCTCTATTGTACTCTATGAATTAAATACTGGTATTGTTGTCTCTATTGTACTCTACGAAATGAACAATGGTATTGATATCTCTATTGTACTCAATGAAATGAAGACTAGTAATGATGTCTCTATTGTACTCTATGAATTGAATAATGGTATTTGATGTCTCTATTGTACTCTATGAAATTAATACTAGTATAGATGTCTCTATTGTACTCTTTGAATAAAATACTGGTATTGATGTCTCTATTGTACTCTATGAAATTAATACTAGTATAGATGTCTCTAATGTACTCTTTGAATATAGTATAGATGTCTCTATTGTACTCTTTGAATAAAATACTGGTATTGATGTCTCTATTGTACTCTATGAAATTAATACTAGTATAGATGTCTCTAATGTACTCTTTGAATAAGATACTGGAATTGATGTCTCTATTGTACTCAATGAAATGAAGACTAGTAATAATGTCTCTATTGTACTCTATGAATTAAATAATGGTATTTGATGTCTCTATTGAATTCTATGAAATTAATACTGGTATTGATGTCTCTATTGTACTCTATGAATTGAATAATGGTATTTGATGTCTCTATTGAATTCTATGAAATTAATACTGGTGTATTGATGTCTCTATTGTACTCAATGAAATGAGGACTAGTAATGATGTCTCTATTGTACTCTATGAATTAAATACTGGTATTGTTGTCTCTATTAATTGAACTCTATGAAATAAATACTGGTATCAAGGTCTCTATTGTACTCTATGAAATTACCTGACTCCAGTTCCTTTTTCTGCACTATTGTTGACGATAACGGCCATCGTCCCAGCTATGGGCAGTTGGCCTAAAAACACTCAAACATGATTTAATTTCTTAATTTACATCTTTATTCTCTAGTATTTGTAAAAAAAACATTGAATACATATTTCAAGAAAAAAAGGTTACCTAACAATTTAAGAAGATGAACCATGAAGATATTAACTTTATAATCAAAAACTGTTACGTTTGTTTATAATGAAGACACTTCGAAAAATGCTTCTACTCAGAATTTCTTCTGGAATTTTTTGCAGCTCTTTATATGTTTCCATTGACTAAGCATTAAAAGTCAGGATTTACAACTACATGCTCATCAATTTCCTCTCAATTCTTAGGATACAATACTGTTTAAATACCAATAAATACCGTTGGGTACCATTTTATGCCGTTGGATATTGTTGGATACCATTGGATACTGTTGGATACCGTTGGATACCGTTGGATACCGTTGGGTACCGTTGGATACCGTTGGGTACCGTTGGATACCGCTGGATACCGCTGGATACCGTTGGATACCGTTGGATACCGTTGGATACCGTTGGATACCGTTGGATACCGTTGGATACCGTTGGATACCGTTGCATACCATCGGATACCGTTTGTTTTAGTTAGAAACCGTTTGTTTAATTTAATCCAAATAAATCCAGTTTCATCCCATTTAACAAAGTTTGATTTTATATTGGGCAATCTTTTAAATTCTATAAAATCTTTAAAAATCTCACAAAATCTGTTTAAATCTTAAAAACTCTTTGAAAATCTTAAAAATCTTTGAAAATCTTTGAAAATCTTTAAAAATCATTGAAAATCATTGGGAATCTTTGAAAAAGTGTAGGAAATGCTTTTAAATTACATTTTTATGAGAATGTTAATCATATTATATCATGTATTATGATCTAGATTTATCTCTAATAAATCTTATTTACTTTACGGTTAAAATTGTTAATTTGTTTTTTAATGTTTGAATGAGTTCCTGTCGTATTATCCACATAGCTGACCGGAAACCCAGTCACCTGGTTGTAGGTCACAAACCCAAACCCGGGATGACAATACTCTCCTTCCCAAACCTAGAACACAAACAATATAAAGTTAGAAAATTCAACGATTAAGGATTGATTTATTACGATCCAAAATAGACCCAAGCTAGCATTACACGGATTAGGAACGTGATTAATTAGGAGTTTCTACATTAAATATAGAGCACAGTCGTGGAATGTTAACTACGCAAAAATGCATAAAAATGTAACAAAAATTGATGAAAATTTAAGAAACAGGATCCGGATTTAATTCTTAAGGGTGGATCCGAATAAAAATGGAATGAATCCAAATCTATGTTATAAAAGATATTACGGTTTTTATGTTCCAAGTTAAACACAAAATATTTGGTTGTCAAGAATACAAGAAAGTATTTAATGCTTTCCATAGAATGACTTTAATGTTTTATGGCGTAACTATTGAATACAAGTTTACCAAGCGTCTAACTCTGGCCTATTAAACACCTATTAAGGCTCACAACACTCAAACAATCAACACTGACTGAATAAACTTTTATAGATAGTCCCGGGAAGGATACACAACTCTTGATAACAGGATTTTTCCTCGGCTAAAAAAACTAGTTTGAGATTGAGATAAAAAAAAAAATATCTCAGTGGTCTAAACTTTTGTAATTATATTTCCTTTAGAGCAATAATCGTTATTTTCTGTGGATTTACGGGTTAGGTCCAGTTCTATTGGATACAGGGTTACCCACAAAGGATGAGACTTCAGAGACGACTTTACCAATTTTATCCGTCTTTTTTTCTTTTTTAGACTTTTTACATTCTTTGCCAAATCAATTTGTACACATATAGAAGTCTAAAGAATAAATAAAAGCTTCAGTACGTCAGAATTAAGGATTATGTTTAGTCTTATTCTTTGTGGGTAACCACTCCATGTATCTTCAAATACGCCAATAACAAAGACAAAAGTACGAGTCTGATGTTCTTTCAGACATTTCAGATTATGGCTTTTTCAAACAAAAATTCCGATCTACATATAATATCAAAATTGTAAGGGATAGAACCCACAAAAATAGGAAAGCAGTACCTGAGGAAGCCCATTAACGGCCTGGTTTCCAGCCGCTACATTCTCTAGTTGACTAGATAAACTGTCCGCTATATCCGACAGCTCCTGGGTAATTTCTCAATATCAAGCTGGAGAACAATTGATCTAATTCTAATGTTGGTAAAAAATCAATACTCTGAAGAGTTATATTTAGGACAATAAAAGTTGAGGAATGTTTGTTTTCTAGTTTATTGAACGGAAGGTGGCTCAGAACTAAACTATCAAGGACAATACACAAGTAGATATTCGTCACAAACATTAGTCAGGACTAAACTGTATCCTGAATACTAAATTACTTTGTTACGCATTACTTTTTCAACTATTTCATCTTCAAAGTCAGCTCAACTTGGGCATTAAATGCAATTTGCAAAATATAACATGCGTAGTAGGAAATACTTGCAAATAAGAGCAAACAACTTGCGGAATTTATTGTTTTCTCAATTTTTCTCTAATAGCCGTTAATTCCAGTTTAATTGCTCAAAACACACAATCTTATCGATTTTGCTGATATTACAGGAAAAGGAAATGTTCAAAGTAAACTTAACAAACAAATTAAGTACAATTTTGCAAACTAAAGACCCCCCCCATGTGTTTAATAAATCAGAGAGTTAAGAAGTCTAGTCGGCTAGCTATAAATAAACAAGACCCCCCCCCCCCATGTGTTTAATAAATCAGAGAGTTAAGAAGTCTAGTCGGCGAGTTATAAATAAACAAGGATTGATTGATTGTCCCACCCTGAAAGATTTATTCGTGTTGAGTGAGGTACGCCCCACGAGAACTTTGACCGGACGGGATAGTTAAACAAAAACATTCTTCAAAAATATTTTAGTTTTAGAAATTTATAATTCACACTTCCTGGGTTTACTTATACATATATATATATATATATGTAATATATATGTACATATATATATAGTATTTTCAACTTTTTCAGCTTAAATATACATTTTAGATGTTTAAATATATATTTCTTCCAAGACAAAATGTTTCATGGGTCTAACCCAAATCCCTGTTGACATCACTTCTGCTTTATAAACCACGCCTTTACTCAAACATTTTCCATTTAGAACACAATTCTTTGTTCCACCACGACAATTGCAATCTTTTACATTTTTATCCTGATTTGATTTAAAGGTTTTACTCAAAAGTTTCTTATTATGTCCAGATAGAACTGCTTCAATATTTGTATATATATATATATATATACATATAATATGTTACTTAATAAAATAAGAATAACAGAAGACAGATCTAAAATGGAACCCCAGACAACGCTCAAATGGGAAATTATTATAGAAAGTTTAAATAAAAAATTATGATAATGTACCCAAATACATTAATTTTCACCTAAAAATCATTTATTGTCACCAACTCAAAGGAAAACCTAAAAAATTGACCGAAAATTTTTTCAATACTTAGTGAAAAAGTGATTTCAGCAAAGGCAGAGGGAATGAATTTCAATAATATCTATAAACAAAATCTTAAAAAATGTTGCAATAATCATTCAAACATTAAAATCTTTACTGGATTTAACGGACTAATTAAAAGAAGTAAAGTAACAGTAATAAAGCAAAAAGTAAATAATATTGAGCTTCAAAAACAAAATTATTTTTATCCAACTTTGAAACGTTTGCTCAGTATTAAAATAGAAATTCTAATTATCAAATATATTAAAGCTTAGACAAGTTTTGATTTTTAACAAAAACTAAAAATCGTTTGAAGTAAATGTAAAATAATACTGCAGTGATCTATAAGCTATGACGTGATTAACATACAATTAAAATTAAATTTACCAAAGTTTCAGTTGTTCTTTAAACATCAAGTTTACTTTACTTCACCATCAAGCTTAATGGACTGAAGACGCAATTTTAAGTTACTCTCCCCTTATAAAAAGCAATGTCTGATTCACAACGGTACGCTGTATAGGTTTGTCCGATCAAGAATCCATAAGATATCAATAAATCCTCTTTGTCATTTGTTTACTTATAATCCAAGTTTCTCAAACACGTGACTTATTGATTTTTTCTTCAGCAGTGATGGGGTAAATCGTTAGAATTAAACCATTTTTAAGGTAGAAACGAAGATATCTTGCAAATGATTGATCAGAAATGGTTTAACTTTAACAGTAATATATACAATTGTAAATCGTAAATTTCCTTTTGATGAAATAATTATATAGTTAAAATTATTAATAATCAACGGTAATCTTTTCCTTTATCGTATAATTTTTCCTACAACGCAGCACGTTTCTGGTATTGAAATTAAAATTAGGACCCCAGTTCCGGTTATTTAAACAACAGCCAAAACTTGACTCTTTTATCAATATTTATTATTTATTCTTGTTTAGTATTCCTGTTTAAACCTTGTTATATTCCCAAATCAAAATAACCCCAAAACTTTTTTAATTCTTGAGAGTTTCATTAACAATTCACAATTGTACTCTATACACCTACAGCAAAGTAAAGATAAAAGAAATATCTATATATGTAAAATATTTAGCATGTTGCAAAGCCTTTATGCAAATTTTGACACCATTAAGATTGAAAGTCTACCAATTAGAATGGTTTGTTACTCCTAAGCTGAGGGTCATATAAAATTATATCAATTCGATCACTAAGTTTATGTTTTGAAAATTTTGATTCCTTAATTCTGTTATTGAGAAATTTTCCTCTGTGTGCGAATCGTCCATATCGTCCAAATCTTCGGCGCTCTCGTCACCGTCGTTGCTTGGGGGTCGAGAGAGAAATACGTTCGTAATCTTAAAGCTCGTCGTCTTTTTACGAGCCGGAATATCGTCTCCGTCCTGGGCGGAGAATTCTACTTCTCCTCCCTTTCCCATCACTACCCCCTGTACATACCCACAATCATCCATTCTGACAACACCTAGTCCTCCTCCTCCTCCTCCTGATACATCTATCCGACCCCCTTCCAGCACGTCACTCTTCCCTCCTTCCATATTCACTCCCTCTGATGTATCAATATCAGCCTTCACTCCGTCCCCACCACCCCGAACACCTTCTCCTTTACCTCCGGCCCCCATTCCTTCCCCTTTTCCACCTTCCGCCCCTGCTACAGGAACACTTGAGGCCATTAAAGCCGAAATTAATTCTTTTTACATAGTTCACATCTGAAAAACAAAAATTTTCAAATATTAGAAGCAATAATCGAAAACAAAATTTTATTTTCGTTAAATAATAAATTCCATAAATAATCTGATAAATCTTGCTTTGCTCATAATTTATATATAAACCCATTACGACGAAGTTGGATCCCCTGCTACCCCGCCCATTATGGGCGTTTTCCTCTCTTTTACAATCACAACGAATAAAAACAATTTCACAAGTTAGGGAATTCTGCACTGAAAAATTCAAATTTGGGTCAAAATTTCTGTTTATCACTCCAAGTAGTTGAAAATTTAACAATAAATCTGTTTTTCACAGAAACATGGCGACCTTGATCTGTAGACTAGTACTCTCAGCTTGGTGTATGATTCAGTAAATCCAGTCGTAAAATTAGACTAATATTTTAAAATGTCGTCGTTGATATCTTTTCCCCGAAAAGATGCTATATCGGTTGCCACTAATGTCCGATTCAACTAACGTACTTTTGCACTAAAGTCAGCTGATCAGTAACACTTGTGGCCGCAGCGCCCGGCCCCCTAGCCTGTCCTAGCCGCGGCGCTCGCCCCCTAGCCTGTCCTAGCCTCAGCGCTCGGCCCAGAAATAGTCATAACCTAACCTAACCCTAAAATAAAACTTTAGTCCGAAGAGTCCGAATGAACGTTAGTACGAATGTACGTTAGTCCGATCAATCATTAGTGCAAACGATACGACACCCCCGAAAACGCCGAACAGTGCACTTTAGGAATTAGAGATCAGGGGCGGACACAGGGGGGTGGCGGGGGGACATTCGCCACCCCCTGACAGATTCAGGGAGGGGCGTAGCCCCCCCCCTGAGATTTCGAGGCAAAAAATGTTCCCAATTTGATAAATCGTATGTGTTTTTCAATTTTAAGCTATTTGATTATTTTTTATTTAATGGAAATATAATAATTAATATTTATTGAAAAATCGAATCATTTTTCTAGCTTGTTAAAAATAAATATAAGTTTATAACCAACGATGTAAGTATACGGACAGACATTGTGTTTTGTTTTATTGGTACGCGGCACACTGCACAAACTTTGAGTCTTTTCTTCAGTTTAATTTAAAAATCAACGACAACAAGTAAATGTTATTGTTAACGATAAATTTAGAATTAGAAATTCGTAAGAAACTAGTAATTTCTTTTTGTTCTTAAATTGCTAATGTTCCTATTATTGTTCCTGTTCCTAATACTGTGTCCGACCCACCTGAAATCCCTGTCCTAATCCTATATTTTTGTTCCTAATTCCTGAACAATCTTTTTATTGTTCCTAAATCCCTGTCCTAATCCTTTAATTTTGTTCCCAATTATCAATTTTTTTGTTCCTAAAAAATCTTGCCACCCCCTCACTTAAATCCTGTGTCCGCCCCTGTTACCCAACAAACAAAACACAGGTTTTCAACGAGATTAGCATTATGGAGAACTGGTTGATAATTCACGTGATTAATTCACGTACCCTCCTTGTGTTTTACTCGTGGAAAATCTACTTTTCACAATCTTGAAGATTCCTCCTGTGTACAGCACGGGTAAAAAACGCGAAAATATTCTTTGAAAATTCTCGCTGTTATTTCACATGTTGTACACGTAGCAAAATAAACCAGTGCAAAATCTTGCATATTCCTATCGTGTTAAGCTCGAGTAATGCAATGCCAGAATTTTTAGATTTTAATTCTCGTAATTATCACGTGTACTATATTTGAGATAATTCTATAGTTCAATTCTCGAAGGTTTTTCACATGTTCTGCTCGTAGAAAAGATACCAGTGCAAGCTCTCGCATATTCCAAACGCGTTAATCATGAGTAATGGAATGCCAGAATTATCTAGATTTTAATTCTTGTAAATATCACGCGTAAAATATTTGAGATATCACGGGAAGAATTTCATCTTTCATTTTTAACAGAGTTGCAAAATCACAACACTTGGTGTCTCTGCTCATCTTTTAGAAACTAAAAGTTTATTGTAGTAAAATGAAATATTTCAACTGACATAAATTTTTCAGATTATAACAAGCATGAGCATAGTATAGAAACGTTTCACATTGAATTTTGTATTGTATTTCTCAACAACCCCTTTTTGGAATATCGATATTTTAGATATATACAGGAAGGGGAATTCATATAATTATGGATACGTTAACATAGTTGAACAACATTTAGACTTGAAATATCACTTTGTGATAAGAAAAGTTTAAAGTTTACATGTTCAAGATGTTTAATGTAAAAGATATAAACTAAAATGTTTAGTTTCTAAACATTTTGTAATAGTTATATACTTTTACACAGTATATTTTATAATATATTTCTATATCAGAAATCAATTATGTATCCCCCCCCTTTCCCGGGGTTTTTAAAAATGTAATTAAAGTAGATGAGAGAAAAATAATTTTCCCATGTAAAAATCCCGTGTTCATCTCGTGAAATAAACTCAAGTTTTCGCCGTGTAAAAACTCGGTCCTAGACCCGTGTTCAAATCGTCGACAATCACCTCGACAACACGTGAATTATCACGGGATAATGACGGGTCACTCGTGTGAAATAAACCAAATAATCTTGTGTTCTTCACGGGTTTTTGTTTGTTGGGTAGAGATCATGGACTAGCATGATCAGCATCCACATAATGATCGAATAAACTCAAGGGCGTATACAGGGGGGCAAGGGGGCAGTGCCCCTGCCTGACCTGTAAAAGGGGGGCATAGCTAGCATAGACTCAGAGAGCTTTCACACTTTTAAAATCATGAAACTGAAAAGTGTCGAATATTTAAAACATTAATTTGCTGTTCTTTCCGCTTTCGCTGCTAGTTTTGTTTGATGGAGAGATAAAGTAGTCCTTGTATGGTGATTGGACTGAATGTACGAAACATGACAGATTGGTATACATGTCAATTCTTTCATAATTTGTTAAGTTCTTTGATACAAATTGAGAATATTAACAAATAAAACATGCATTAGTCATTTATAGAAAATTGATTTCAAAGTAAGTAAAATATATTTTAGTAATTAAGAGTTTGTTTACGAAATAAACTAAAAAAGTCTTTAATTAATAAAATATATGGAAGAAGACATTCAAAACCATTCACCAAGCTGTCATGGTTCATGGGACTGCAGCTGCACCCATAGAAGCCAAATGTTTTAAATTTACAGTTAAAATATTGCCCCCCCCTAGATTTTTTTCTGTACACGCCCTTGAATAAAATGACGAATTCATTTGAACTATCGTTCAAAATTAGAACACATTCGTATACAGATTACAGCTTTCTCAATAGGTATCACTCTATATCAAAGAATTTTTTGAAAAGACGATATCGAATTCGTCACTGAATTTCCATGTTTATTGGGACACCCTGTACGTAAACAGAAGTTTTTTTAATTGAACGAGATAAAACAAATATAAAATTCATAATTTACCATGTGGTTTGGACCCGCATGTATACAATTCATCAAACCTTCTCCATTTATTTCTCCTAACCCTATTCCTTTATTTCTTTAAACCTTCTCTCTTTATTTCTCCAAACCTTCCTACTTTTATCCAAACCTTCTTCCTTTATTACTCCAAACCTTCTTCCTTTATTTATCCAAACCTTCTTTCTTTATTTCTCCAAACCTTCTTACTTTTATCCAAACCTTCTTACTTTATTTATCCAAACCTTCTTTCTTTATTTCTCCAAACCTTCTTACTTTTTTCCCCAAACCTTCTTACTTTATTTCTCCAAACCTTCTTACTTTATTTATCTAAACCTTCTTACTTTATTTATTCAAACCTTCTTACTTTATTTATCCAAACCTTCTTATTTTTTCCCCAAAACCTTCTTACTTTATTTATCCAAACCTTCTTACTTTATTTCTCCGAACCTTCTTACTTTATTTCTCCAAACCTTCTTACTTTATTTATACCAAACCGTCTTTCTTCATTTCTCCAAACCTTCTTCCTTTATTTCTCCAAACCTTCTACCTTTATTTCTCCAAACCTTCTTCCTTTATTACTCCAAACCTTCTTCCTTTATTTATCCAAACCTTCTTTTTTATTTCTCCAAACCTTCTTACTTTATTTATCCAACCCTTCTTCCTTTTTTTCTTTATTTCTCCGACCCATCTTTCTTTATTTCACCTAACCCTTTTCCTTATTTCTTTAAACCTTCTTCTATTATTTCTCCAACCCTCCTTTCCTAATTTCTCAGAACCTTCTTCCTTTATTTCTCCAAACCTTCTACCTTTATTTATCCAAACCTTCTTCCTTTATTTCTCCAAACCTTCTTCCTTTATTTCTCCAAACCTTCTACCTTTATTTCTCCAAACCTTCTTCCTTTATTTCTCCAACCCTCCTTTCCTTTATTTCTCCAAACCTTCTTCCTTTATTTCTCCAAACCTTCTACCTTTATTTCTCCAAACCTTCTTCCTTTATTTCTCCAACCCTCCTTTCCTAATTTCTCAGAACCTTCTACCTTTATTTATCCAAACCTTCTTCCATCATTTCTCCTAAACCTTCTTCCTTTATTTATCCAAACCTTCTTCCTTTATTTATCCAAATCTTCTTCCTTTATTTATCCAAACCTTCTTCCTTTATTTCTCCAAACCTTCTTCCTTTATTTCTCCAAACCTTCTTCCTTTATTTCTCCAAACCTTCTTCCTTTATTTATCCAAACCTTCTTCCTTTATTTATCCAAACCTTCTTCCTTTATTTATCCAAACCTTCTTCTTTTTTATCTGAACCTTCTTTCTTCCTTTATTTCTCCAAACCTTCTTCTTTTTTTGTCCAAATCTTCTTCCTTTTTTATCCAAAATAAAGTTTGCGGATTTCATAATATTCGAATTATATTTTTTCGCGCATTTTCAAGATTTTACAATAATAAAAACTTTCAAACACAAATTTTGATCATTCAAAAACCTTCCCTGGGGTCACGTGGGCCTGATCGGTTCAGCCGGTTTAACGTTCATTGGAAAAAAACAAACAGACACGCTAAATTTACATATAGATTAACCATTTTTAAGATGTTGTATTTTCAACGAAGTAAACAATGGCAAAAATTACATAGTTTGTAAAACCTAGAGTGATGGTTGGGTTGAAAAGAAAATCATGAAACCATTGTGAAAAATATTACAGGGTTGTTAACCAAACATAAAGGGGAAAGACTAGGAATAATTTCCTATGTGCTGCACTCTTTTTCTGTGCTTTTGTTGCCTAATGTTAATATATATATTCATGCATAACTCGACTAATAATACTTAAAGTTTATTAATATGAATAGTAAAAGCTATAAAAAATCAGACCTTCAAGGGACTGTAAAATAAAATAAAAGGGTGTATAGGATAAAAACCTGAGAATCTCAGGCGTTAAACGATACATATATAAAACATCTATCTGATGTTTCTGTCTCGAGATATTGATATAAAACTGTTTAGAAGGAATTGAGTTTTAGCCACAAACTCTAATTTTGTAATCATAGAGAATAGAATATATAGAGAGGAATTAAAAGAATATTATTATTATTGTTATTATTATTATTATTATTATCATTATCATTATTATTATCATCAATATCATTATAATAAGAACATCAATTAATTTCTTAATGATAATTTTTTTTAAATATTGTATTATAGCTAAAATATTTGTGTTTTATATGTCCCATATCAATTCTATTTAAAACAAATTCTAACCGTCCATGGAAATAGAACAACTATTCAAACTTTAAGTTATAGTGACACGTCTAATACTATTTATGGGTAATAAAATAATACTTATTTTAAACCCTATGAAACTTAGAAAAATGCAAATTTTCGTGCTTATAGATAAAAGAAGTATTTTGAAACACTTGAAACTTAGAAAAATTCCCTGGTGTTTGCTGAATGTTTATATAATGTTTGCAACTAGGAGGAGAGGTGTTTGCTGAATGTTTATATAATGTTTGCAACTAGGAGGAGAGGTGTTTGCTGAATGTTTATATAATGTTTGTTTACAACTGGGAGGAGAGATGTTTGCTGAATGTTTATATAATGTTTACAACTATAAGGAGGAGAGGTGTTTGCTGAATGTTTAAATAATGTTTGTTTACAACTAGGAGGAGTGATGTTTGCTGAATGTTTAAATAATGTTTGTTTACAACTAGGAGGAGAGGTGTTTGCTGAATGTTTGAATAATGTTTACAACTAGGAGGAGAGGTGTTTACTGAATGTTTGAATAATGTTTGTTTACAACTAGGAGGAGATGTGTTAGCTGAATGTTTATATAATGTTTACAACTAGGAGGAGTGATGTTTGCTGAATGTTTAAATAATGTTTGTTTACAACTAGGAGGAGAGGTGTTTGCTGATGTTTGAATAATGTTTGTTTACAACTAGGAGGAGAGGTGTTTGCTGAATGTTTATATATAATGTTTACAACTAGGAGGAGAGGTGTTTGCTGAATGTTTATATAATGTTTACAACTAGGAGGAGAGATGTTTGCTGAATAAATACTTTGATTTATGTAATTATAGGTAAAATAACGTATTAAAAAATCCCAGACACTTGAAATATAGGTATTAATTAGTAAAAATACGTATGTTTAACACTTAGACACCATACAGACTTTTAGAGTAAAGAAAAACGAAAAAATACGTAAAATGAAAACCTAGATACTTAGTAACTATTTGGTAAAAAGATACGTAATTATACGTAAAAATACGTACACCCCACCCTTATTTCACTTAAGGAGGAGGGGGTAAGGGACTGCTGCCCCAGGCCTGTAGCTAAGAATTTGTAAGGGTGTGTGGGGCACAAATGTTAGAAATCCTAGATATAGGTAATTAAGGGGCGAAAAAAAAATTGACATGAAAACTGAAAAAGGGTCAAAATTAGTGACTAAAGACAAATAAAACTAGATTTTTAACTTATCACACATTCATATAGTTTATTAAGATAGATATTTTGTCTGTTTTGCATTAAGTTATCTTTCCCTTAAGTCTATTGAGAAGCTATTTGCATTAAAACAAAAAAACTGGAGTTATAAGAAGTATAATAGAGATTTGAGTTACACTATAAATAAATTGTTTAAATCACGTACGAATAGCCAATAATTATTTTTAATAAAGCTGGAAAGTATAAAGATGTTAAAAATGCCTGTAAAGATCAAGAAAAGCTCAAGCCATATGAAAATATGAAAATGTAAGCTATGAGTATGAGTTCAAACAGCTTCTCCTATCAACTTGGCTATATTTTATAATTATATATAATTTCAATTTTAATTTGTCTCCATGGTACTTTCAAAGAATAATCATATACATATCATAATAAATAAATTTAAGGAACCAGAACATGCAGTAATGTTACATTGTCTAAACGCAACATCCCGCCTTCTGACCTACTAACTTTCCGACCTACTTCAATATCGGACTTACGCCATTTGTTTATTATTGTATTATATTTGAAGGAATTATGGTTGGGAAGACAATTTTTGGGTCGAGCGCGCAGCGGCTAGGAGGCTAGGGGGCCGGGCTAGGACAGGCGGACCTGGTACTGGGGCCATAAGTCCATATAGTAGCTGTAAACCCAAATACTAATTACTAGTAGGTCAGAAGTGGAGTATAGCGGATTTGCGTAGGTCGAAATACACCATCCAGAAAAATTTATTTTTAAAGACGACATTCATTCCCGGATTGATTTTTGTAATACAAGCAACTGCCTGACTAAGCCAAACCAAACAAAAGTCAAACTAATGACATCTTGTGACAAAATTAGAACTAACAAATTCGCGAAAAAGGGTTACGCTAAGTGCGCAAAACGGTTTGCATATTTGAATTGCGTGACGCCGTTGTGCAGCTGCAGAAAATAAAATTCATCAATTACAACTTAAGTTAATGCGCAGTGCGTGTTGTTAAAAACTTAAATAAACATTGGTCGTTTTTAGAAAATTATTTAAATAAAATATATTTCGCAATGTTTTTAATAACAATTTATTTTAAATTTAGTTTAATAATTTGTTTAATAGATAAAGCTCGTGATGGCCTAAGAAATTATGTGTTAAGGTTTTCCAATGAATTGTTTACATTAATGCAATGACGTGTTATGCCCAAAATTTTGTTGCTGTTGTTATGTTAGATTATAAAGATAAAAATATAGACCTAGAATTACACCATGGTTTACTAAATGACTTAAGTTTAAACCAAAATTACGAATTTGAAATATGTATTATATATAGCATTATCATTATTTATTATTCTAAATTGTTTTAGATTCATATAATTTCTCTTATTTTTTTAAAATAAGCTTTTCATTTCCGGGTCTATTCAATGGCCCAGGGAGGGGGGGGGGGCTGAGCCCTCCTGAATACGCATCTTGTTTTAACTATTATTTAACAAGCTAGGAAAGCCGGGAGCGCCGTGGTTGCATATGTGTTACATATGAAATGCATTTACAAAACTGTATAAATTACCAAATGTTTTTATTTTTTCCTTTTTTGTACAATTGTGATCGTCATCTAAGATGTTTAAAAAATATCTCTAGTAATTTAAATTTCAGACAAGATGACCTGAAAATGCCTGATGATAGGAAGAGAGATGGAGGAGGAAGAGGAGGTTTGGATCCTCCTCGACTACGTGTTGCAAACAGCGACAATCCCCCTCGTCTACAGAGCCCAGACAGCGACCTAGAGCTGTCACTCGGACTCTGTCCTCCCTTGACAGCGGCGCTGTCGTGGGGTGAAACTCCGGCCCCGTATGTGTCCACAGTTGATGTTGATGCAATAAAGGTATAAATTCTTTAATGGAGTTTATTTAATAGGTGCAGTGCATGGTATACATTATTCAGGTTTCTTTCCCCCTACAGATGGTTTCCTATGGATTTTTTAAGTTGAAACTTCGCAAAATTAAAATTTTTCATACGGCCCAGCACTATCTGAACTGTTTAGGGGCGTATATTGGCAGAATTACGTAAAATAGTTGCAATTTGGCATCAATCGGCAAGTTTTTCCCCTTTTTAAAACATTTTACCTAAAGATTGTTTATTTTTTCTAAGTTATATTGAGAAAACGCACACTGGGGTAAATGACAATAAGAACTTTTGCCATTTGGAAAAGAGAGGTAGAGAGAGACAAAAAAAAAAACATTATTTTATTTATGTATTGTATAACACTTTTTATTATTTCTCGTGGATTAATACAAAGAAATAATAATGAACGGTGAAAAGAGGTAAAATAGAGATATAGATATTACGTTGGAAAGAGATGATTAAAATTTGAGAAAGAAAAGAGGTTAATATATTTCTAGGTTTCTGGAGCCCCAATACTTAGGGAGATAAACGCCCCTCTCACAACCATTGCGGAGAATTGGGAATCAAGTGTAGCAGTAACCAATGACAGAACAGCATCTAAACCGGAAACAGTCGAAGATTCTTCTTCCGGTTCGGAGACGGAAGGAGTTTCCGGTTCCGATTCGGACTCTGAAGAAACGTCCTCGTCCTCTTGTTCGTCATTGGAGTCAGATTCATCCTCCGACAATGAGGAAAATAAAAAGGCGAGATTTGATTATTTCAATTATTTTATTTTATTTTAATTAAAGTAGTACAGAATACGTACGTACAGTGTACGAACTAAAGAAGGCAAAACAATACAAATAAAAAATAAGCTTCCCCTTTATAGAGAATATTGTGATCTCCCTATGAAATATCTGATCTATGAAATGTCCAAATATCAGCATTATTTGTTTTTTTTCTCTAGATGTGCGAAAATAATTTGTTGTCCTTTACAAAAGACAAAATGCTTATTTTTAGATTTCCTTCTAGGAACATGTATAAAATATTTAAGATTAAAGTCTCAGAAAATTTCTTATTCTTCTACATTAGGTTCCCCTAAATTGATATTTAACAAATATAGAAACTAAAAGGAACTAAGTTTTTGCCACAAACATTAAAATTTTCTAGTCCCTATATATTTGCTACTTAAGATAATTAATATATACTTAATATATTTGATTCATAGTTTAAGATTTCTAAGGTCAACGACAGTGGGTTGCAAAGATGTAGGGATTAGAAAATTCGAGTTTGTGGCAAAGACTCAATTCATTTCTAAGTCAAGGTTTCATTATATATTTAATATTAACTAAATTGTTTCAGGATGACGAGGGAACATTCCGTATTGGGCAGTTGTCTGACACCAGACAGAGAAACCGTAGTGGCAGCGATCCAGGTATATTCCTGTTCAACACTTTTCTTAAATATTTTACTCCATGATTCAGTGCATTATGTATAAGCGTAGTTTTAAGTGACCCTTCAAAAAAAGATGGCAGTGCCTGATTCACAACGATTCCCTTGAAACCTTTATCTGATCAATAATGTGAAAGACCCAAAAGTGTTTAATTCTCATAGCTCCTGAAATGTTTTCCTGCAGTAAGCATGCACTTGCACATGACACAAGTCACTTTTGAAGAAAATAATCAGTTTTCAATATTATAAACATTGATATCTAATTCATACTTCATTAGACAAAGCTGTTAAGGGTACTGTTGTGAATTGGGCATTGCCATCTTTGCATATAGGTTCACTTGAAAATACGCGTACAGTCCTTTTAAAGATAAGAAATTAAGTCCAAAGTGGGTTGGAAATAATGCAGCAAATTCTGTTTGGATTAGATCGTTGTTATAAATCAATTATTTAGGTGCTCGTAAGCGTATTCGGAGAAGAAGTGGGTTTCCCAGACATGATCAGAGTCCGAACCGGTCTCCAGGTAGTCCAGGACGATCCCGACGACGGAGCGGGGTCGTGAAGGGTCTCCAAAGTCCTCTGCGTCGAGGAATATCTCCTCTAACACGATCACACGATGAACATAACCCTGTCATTAATAATCCTGAACCTGATCCGCCCAGGTTTAAATCAATCAAGGGAGAAATCCATAATAAAATATTTGGTAAGATTGAACCTGAAAGCTCCAGGTTGAATCCTACCTGTGATACAAGTGATATTAAACTCAGGGAGAAATCACTGAACCCGGAGTCGGAACCTAAACCCTCGGAGTCATCGGACTCGGACGACTCTTGTATAATCCTTGATAACGTGACTAAACCTCAACATCTACTCCTCGAGCCGGAACCTTCAATTTTCCTGGACGAACAATATACACATAAAAAGGATCTTATTTACGCGGCCTATGGTCGCTCACAGTCCCGGCAGCAGGAAAATAATGATAAAATAAACCCAGAGACAGGAATTAAAGCCCCGGATCTAAGTGAGTCTAGTGAGTCAAGCAGTGACAGTTTATCCAGTTGTGAAACTTCACAGGACGAAGTACAAGATGTTGAGATGGATTCCATTCCTAACCTTCACGTGGAAAACTCATCCTCAGATGAATTTTCATCCCTACCTCCCACACTTGAACCCGCGATGCCCAACTTAGCACTAACAGATGCAAATGATATTTCAAAGTCAAATCTAAGTACAAATGAGTTTGATTCTAACTTCAGAGTAGAATGTGCGTCTCAAACGGTAGAATCAGGTTTCCCTTACATTCCAGCCTCTGTTGAGGTTCCAGTCCATAAGATTGCTCCTCCTCCAGTTCTCCTCGGTATTGAGACCCAATCAAGAAACATTAATCGTGGAAGACCCAGGAAAAATCCACCAATGCTAAAACCTCAAATTGTCACTAATGAATCTTCAGAAGAAGAGGAGGAGAAGGATGTAGAAAAGGTTAAGTTAAAAAAGTTTCGAAAAAAGCTTCCAGCTCATAGCAAAGAATCTTCAGACAATGATCTTTCAAACGAAAATGAGACCGAAACTGTGAAAAGGATTCGGAAAAAAGATAAACTCAGTGTTCTTGTCTCTCTTGCAAAACATACAAAGAGAAAGGAGGCAAAGGAGCTCTCCCGTAGCCATGATGATCTGCTTTCAAGATATTTGAACCAGGAACATGATTTATCAGACTCTGAACTGTCTCATGAAGAAATATCGGAGAAAAGAAATAACCTCACGAAGAAAGTTCGCGAGCATCGACGTGATAAACACTCCAAATCTAAAGTACAAAAGTCCCACAAGTACAAGGGTGAACGCCATTCTAAAACATTGAACGAAAGGAGAAAAAGCAAGAAACAAAAAAGAAAGCTTGAAAATGAAAATGAATTTCGATCCATTTTCGACTTAGAGGACACTGTGAAATCTAAGAGACACAAGGATAGACGTGAACGTAAAAAGCCCCGAAAAGATTCTTGTTATGACTGTGATGACTTTACTAAGAAATCTAGGCGCCCTGCCTCCGCAGAGGAAACATTTAAGTCGTCTAAATATCGTTCATCTTTTCACAAACGAACCAAAAGATCTGAATCCAGGGACATTTCGTCCAGTTTTTTCAACTCAAGAGATGAAAAACGGTCTTCATCCCAAAATGACATTTCAAAACGACCCTCGTCAAAGACTGAGACAAGACGGCCAAAATCTAGGACAGAGGCAACAAGTCGCCCTTCATCAAAGAACGAAACAAAAAAACGTCCTGTGTCGAGAACAGAAATGACAAAACGTCCGTCATCCCAAATAGAAATGATGCAACAGTTCTCGGTGGAAAAAACAAAGCCCGCCTTTTTCTTAGACAATCGGCATTCATCGTCCCTAACGGATATTGTACGAAGACCGAGCTCCAGTAGCGAAGTTGGAAAAATTGATTCAAAACATTCCGAGATTGTAAATAGCCAAGATAAATTAAATGAATCTCAAGGAGTAGAAGAATCTCGTCCTTTCTCTGGTGAAAGTCTAAGAACCCCGACAGATGTAGTTGAGAACAATTTCCTAAGTCTATTCACTGGGAAGCCAGATCAGGAAATGAAAAATCATTTTCTAAATTCTGATTCTAACTCAGTTCTGCTCTTTCCCAAGAAATTCTGCAGTATGAAGCCCGACAGGTTCTGGAAGAAGTCTAGGCGGAAGGTGGTTGTGGAGGAGAAGGTTGATCTTGAACCTACTCCGGGCACACCTGCAGTAGGGACTGGAACAGGAGCAGGAGGAACGGGTAAACCTGATCCTATTGGATCGGTATTTGCCACAAAAGCCTCAGTAAAGGTAAGGTGGATATTTTTAACTTGAAGAAATTAAATAAAATACTTTTTGTAAAAACATACACTTTGCTAATGCCTACACATTCTGCAGGATTTACAGAAACAATTATAATAAGCTGTGTTTTATTTTCATTTTGAACTATTTGATATCATAACTTATATTTTAAATTCAAATTTAATAAGTGATGAAATTGTTCAATAATTTAGTCTTTCAATTTTATTTTCCTTTTCCAGCTGGCCTTAAAGTCGTAATTTGTTTTTCATTTATGCTCTCGAATTCCCCTTAAAAAAAAATTTTTACATCACAAAAAATGTTTTTAAATCGTCTTTATTCAGGAACTTCCCAGTTCTCAGTTTTCTCCTGGGAATCAGGTTCAGCAGATGCTCCAGGTCCTCGCAGCAACAGCATCCAGCTCAACCAAACCCAAGAGAAAGAAGGAACGCCGGGCAGAAGAGAAGGAGAGGGGAGATGGGGACAGGATGGAGAAGGATAGGATGGATAAGGAATACGAGACAATGTCCGAGGATGATGAATCTCTAGGGAGCAGGAGACGGAGAAGAGGTTGGAAGAGCAAGCATAAGAACGTTATAGATCCAGTATTCCTGGGAGAACTGGAGCATCTGATGCAGGATCTTGCTTCATGTCAGCTGGAGCAGAAAATATCTTTAGATCTCTGGCCGGACAGGTATAACCGTCAAACTACTTATTATCAGGTTTTTAAAAAGTTTTAACCTCTGCTTTTTAATGATTTATCTAATTAATTTTAAATCAAACATATGAATTTTCGGGGAAATGAATCTGAAAGATGCAGAAATCATCAAAACAGCAAAAGAACGGATTTAAAAAATGGAAGTTCCATTCTTTTATTTTTTTCCTCTTAAAGTACTGGAATGCATCACCATCATTTATATTGGAATATTTATAGGAAAAATTAAAGGAAAATCAAAATTGAAAAATATCAAACTAGTTTTAATGTTTTTCTTTTAACTTGAAATTGTTTAGACCGTCTAACAGTATGCCATCTATCTTTAAACGAAGAAAGATTCTAGTCTCCAGGAGGAAGCGAGACCAAGGAAAGATTGGAAAAAAGATAAAAACCCCGCGAAACTCAAGTCACGAGAAGACTGGAGGCTCACGGGACCCTGAGCAGGATGGAACTGACGAGCAGAGGTTGCCCTTGAAGAAGAGACATCATCATCTCCAGGTAGGAGCTGGAGTTGTAGGTTTGATTATTCTCAAAGTTTGGAATTTTTTTGCAATCGTTGGTAAAAACAGTAAGATTTTTTCCAAGTATGGATAAGAATAGAGACACATTTCTCTAGAAAGAATAGGATTAGTTGGTTCTCTTCTTTGGTTTCTTTGGTTAAGCAAATAACATGAGGGGCTTCTTCAATTGGTTTGATTACACGAAATACGGCAGATATTCTACTAGAAGTAATGAGAATATGGTTGGCGGGGGAGGGGGGGGTGGTCAGGGTGGTAGGTAAAAATCGGTTCACTGTTTGGTTCTTAAGGTATATCAGTAGGGGTCGGAGAATCCAGAATCAGGATATGATTTCGTCTGTTAGTGGAAAGGGGTGAAGGGGATTCAAGGGAGTTTGTACTGAGAATGAGCTGTTCTTTATATATATATATATAAATCTTTCATATATATTAAAATTAAACCTTTTGTTACATATTACTATTAGAATATTATTTTTTCTGAAATGGGGATTTTTTTAAACTAAAAATTATTTCATAATTTTTCTCTGATTCAGCTTCTTTCCTCTTCAAGTTTTCAAGTTGAAGAGCTCTCCCCTCTCTCTCTCTTGAACCTTGTTGAGAATATTTTATCAAAGTTAGTTTCTTGTTTCCAGATAAATCTGAATTCTAGAACTAGGGTTTCCTATCTCAGGAACAATCTTAATTTTGAACCTTAGTTTTCTATTTCTAAATAACTCTGAATTCTAGAAATAGCAATATCTATTTCCAGATACAATTGAAATCAGTATTCTGGGACCAAAGTTTCGCGTTTCAAGAACGGTATTACTTCTGTGATTTCCTATTTCCTATTTCTATTGATAGATCAGTAAGAAATCCTACAAGTATATTTACCTTGTCAGATAAATCTTAATTCTGTGACTTAAAGGTATTGAGTTTTTGTCCCAATAGTCTTTATACCTTTGCAACCCTATGTTGTAGACCTTAGATATTTTAAACTACAAATAGATTAAATAATCGAAGTTTGAACTATCATAGGTTTACACAATCAGGTTGCAATGATATAGGAATTAAAAATTCAGAGTTTGTAACAAAGACTCATTTCCTTTCCTGTTCCCAGATCAATTAAAATTCTGGAACTATAATTTCCTGTTTTTAGATTAAACTTAACTAATATTTTTTATATCCGGATAATTCTAAATTCTTGAACAATAATTTCCTATTGCTGGTAAATTTTAAATTCTGGAACAATAATTTCCTATTGCTGGTAAATTTTAAATTCTTGAACAATAATTTCCTATTGCTGGTAAATTTTAAATTCTTGAACAATAATTTCCTATTGCTGGTAAATTTTAAATTCTTGAACAATGATTTCCTATTACTAGTAAATTTAAAATTCTGGAACTATAATTTCCTATTGCTGGCCAATTGTGTATTCTGGAACTATAGTTAAATCTGAGTTTTCTGAAAATTATACAACTTTTTAAATAATTTCAAATAATTTTTAAAAAAGAAACAGTCTGATCTTCATTTTGTCAAGTTTAGATTTATAGTCACTTGCAATCGATGTTTAAAACTAAGGTTTTAAAGATTTTGGGAGGAGAAAATTAGAGTTTGAGGCGATTGTTAAGTTCTTACGACCCCCTGTTTATAGGAGAGTCTGATTTATACCTGAAACTTTATTTGTTGGAATTAGATTTCGGAGCAAAGGATTTATCTCAAACTTTTCTCTCTTTAAATTTACCCAGGAAAAAGTTTTAAATAGTTTTTTATTTTTCTGTTTGAAGAATTATTTTTAGATTACATTATTGTTTGATGTTTTAGGGTGCTGGGGCTCAGAAGGAGGTGGATGAGATAGAGATTGAAATTGAAATCGGAACCATTTCTCCAACAAGTTCTCCGGAGAAACCTTCTTCTAATTCGCGTGTTGCTGGTGTAGAGAATCTTGAACAGGTCTTCAGGTCGGAGCAGAGATCTCCCGCTAGAACGAGAGCTGAGAACTCCTCTCCACGGTTGAAATCTAAACCCGGAGATTTTCTCTCCCCTAGTAAACTTCCTGCTGGACAGAAACCAACTGAAAACATTTCCGAACTAAGCAGTTCCTGCAGAAAACTAACGGTAGCAGATCGTATGCTGGAGAAATTAGGAATGCAAGTTAAGAAAGGAGTTCAGTCCTCTACAGAGATATGTTCAACCCCTGAGAAGAGAAAACCTGAAGTATCCTGGCCAGTTTTTACTGTTGAGGACGAGAAACTTAGTCCTGCGCCCAAGAAAGAAGAATGGAAAGAGAAAGAAAAGATAGAAGAAAAGATGGAAAAGAAAAGTGACCAGCAATGTTCAAAAGATCATAATTCAAGAACCTTAAGCTTCCGGGATTCCTTCTCAAATGGAAAGAAGGACGGATTTGAAGAAATTCATAGTCATAGATTCAATCCAGGTCAAGAAGCAAACCCTGGAACTAGAACTAAATCTTCAGATAGAAGAATAAACTCCCCTCGAAGCAAAAGCCAGCACTCCAGGTGTGAAACCCAAGAGGAACGAAGATCAAGAGATCATAAGACCAGTCAGGACGGAACAAAGAGCAAAATTTCCGAATCCCGGAGCAATTCGAGTAGGTCAGCGGACAGAAGAAGAGGTTCTCCGGATCTTATACGGAATAAGAACAAGGTTGTATCCTGGGACAAATGGAAACATCAAGAGAGAACTACAGAACCCTCAGGATCTACCTTTGTCGACAACATCAAGGTTGGTATTTTCATCATGAACCTCTAAAGAATAGTTTTTTTTGAATGTCTCGAAGGTTGGATGCACAGTCTCCTTTATATTATTGGCAGAAGAGAGAGAGGAAACCTTGGTATATATTTATGTGATGGTTTATTAAGCCTGTAAAACTTAATATCCATACTATACTACTACTTGGCAGCTCGAAGAGAGAGAGGGGGGGGGTACTTTAATGATTTAATTTAAGTATTAACATTAGAAAACTTATCTCATCTGATCCAGATAATTAATTCTTTGATTACATTGAATATGTAGGAGTTCTGTCTAATGGAGGAATCCTGAGTAAAATTAATTACTTGAATCTGACCCCTCCTACTCCTCTCCAATCCCCCTTTTACAACTAGATACTTTTTCTTTAGAGGGGTGTGGGAGGATGTGAAAGCGGGATTAAAAAATACCATATTCAATCTTTTTTTAAAATTCACTCAATTACAATTTATTTTTCTTTGATTTTATAAAGATGAACTGTGGTAAGACTACGTATACTGATGTATGTTGAACAATGAACACCAAAGGATGAAATTAATGATTTAATCCAAGGTTAATGTAAGAGAAGGAATTAATAAATAGATACAGGGTGTCCCAAAAAACATGGGAATTCAGTGACGAATTCGATATCGTCTTTTTAAATAATTCTTTGATTTAGTATAGTGATACCAACTGAGAAAGCTTTAATCTGTAAGAGTTTCGTCTGCTATGTTTACATTTTGTTTGTTTATGTTTTGACTGCATACGGTTGTACTTAGTAAAACAAGAAAATTGCAGTATACAAACAGAGTAAACTTGTCAGTCTTCACTGTTCATCTTGCAGAGACATTATAGACACATCTTTACAGTCTTCTACCCTTTTCATAAAATAAACTCTAGCAGACATAATAATATTATGGCTTTTGAAATTAGGTATTACAATGCTAATTCATAGCAAAGACGATATCCTATTCGTAACTGAATTCCCATGTTTTTTGGGACACCCTGTATATCCTGACTGTTCATTGTTTCAGCAAACACTAGGAGTACAGATAGAAAATTAAGAGTACAATCGAACCAAGAGATAAAAAACAATTTTTATTTAAAAGTAATTTTTGAGAACCCCCACATTTTTTATTAAAATAAATCAATCGAATAATTGAATTGACTCTAACTTTTCAATCCCTATATCATTGCAACCTGATGGTGTAAAACTTTAATATTTCAAGTATAGAGCATTTCATTTATCAAAGTTTAAAATATCTAGGGTCAATGTATTGCAAAGATAAAGGAATTGGTAAATCAGAGTTTGTGACAAAGACTCAATTCCTTTAACCTAAAATGTAAATGTCAAACAATATTTTTTTAAATCTAATTTTTTTCAAGTAATAAAAAGCTCTCATTGAAAGATTTGCAGTTCATCATTTAATCTATATTGGCGACGGTTTTTATATTATTGCCAAGTACCAGAGGGTATATAATTATAAGAATTGCCGGAGGAGAAATTATGAGGGAGGGGGGGATAAAAATTGGACATCATAAGGCAAGTTTTTTTTATCCTTTTTGATACTTTTCCCCCCTATATTATTTCAAATTCAGCGAAGAAACCCTTTAAAAAATGTTTTCCAGCTCCGCGCAAACATAAATAACTTCCAGGGGAAAAAAGTAAAAAATATTTTCAAGGAGTGGTGGGGGGGGGAGGGTGGAGGAAATGATTTTTCAAGAAAATAGACCATGTATGATTAATATACCATTAAATATTACCATTCATCATATTACCCTTTTTGATTAATCTGGTATTTTTTATATAATATACATTAGCCTGATATTTCGCTGAAAGCTTTAACCAAGTGTACTCTATACTCCACTTGATACTCCTAAAATTCCCATTGGTGAACAGGCTAATACATACTCACAGATCTATATAAACATATTCTACTCTTCATGGTCCAAGCTTCATTAATATTTAACTATAGTTGGGAGTTAGGGGGCCGGATCCTCATCCTATTCTCATCTTAATTACATAAACAGAAAATACAATCTTAAATTTATATAAATATATATAAATATATAAATATATAGTTCATGGATAAATCATGGTTTAGATTGATTAATTGGTTGGTGGATGGATAAGTATTATGATGGAAGACTAAAGGTTTGGTCGAACTATGAATAATGGATTTATTGATGTGATTGATTGATAGATGAAAGGATAAATTGATGAATGGATTATTGATGCCTATATATGAAGATAAATTGATGTTATATTTATATTCTTCAATGTCGCATCAGATTGAAAAAGTTTTAGATAAAGTTCTTCTATTCAAACTTAGCTTAGGGTGAAACCTAATCATTTTATCTTTTATATTTACATTTTTATTCAGTATTTTAGACACAAGGTGGAGGGTTTATATTTGCAGAGAATATAAATATAACATATCTTTACGGACTAGCCCTTTGTCTCATACTAATAAATAGGCAACTCTGAATCATACTAGTACTAAATATTAATTAATATCTTCATTTTTAGAACTGTATTGATAAATACACCTTTGTGGACGAGGATGAAGAATCACCGTTTGCCCGGCTGCCTCGTCGTTATTTGGGCTCAGCTCCTGGTCAGCGTAAACCTGGAACCAAACAGCTTCCATCCCCATCTGGAGAGAGCAAATCGGTTTCGATTTTCTCTTCTCCTGAACCTGAATCTCGTCATGAACTCAACACTTCAGGACGGGAATCAAGTCTTAGCCATACATCCAATTCCTCCGAATCCTTATCTTCTCATCCTGAACCAACAGAAGGTCCGGCATATCTGAATAAGCCGGGCTCTTACCTTGGCCGGGCCTCTAGGCAAGATCTACACAATCATTTGTGGAGAGAAGAGAAATACAAGCATAATAAATCTCACGGGATACAATCTGACGGTGCAAACATTCCAAACCAATCCAATCTGTACCCGACCATATCCAACCAATCTTCGAAACATACAACAGATATTAAACTTCAAATGTCTAAACCTCTTCCTACAGAACCAATACGTCGAGTAGATCTAGGTTTTAGTCACAAGCCCCTAGATAAGTCTATGAGGTTTCATAGGGGTCAAGAATGTTACATCAAGAAGGTACCGCAAGCTATTGTTGCTCCTTTCCGTAGAAATCCACCTGAAACTCCGGCAAACACAGTGACACCAATTCATAGGGCAAGTATAGCTACTGCAGGAATATCTTTTCCAGTCCCAACCTCTTTATCCAGTACAGCAAGCTCAACAAATACAGAACCCACCCCTTTACTTGAACCAATTCTAGAGAATGAGATAAGAAAAGAGAATGAAAAATCAGACAAACCCGGTGAATCGAAGGCCAGTTTACATGTTGAACCTACCAATCATGTACCAGAAAACACAGATATACATATTACTGAAGATTCTAATTTGCAAGTGTCAGAAGAACCTGAGACGGAGGAGAATTCTGTAAAAACGGCTCAGGTTTCTTTTCCCAAGACGAGGTCTAGAGATGTGAAGTCAAATCTGGACACTGAACCTACTGGTAAGGGCTACCTAAAGACCAGTGCGGTGGAGCGGATGACGAAATGTCAGGTTGAGGTTTGTAGGCTTAAAGAAGAAGATAAATCTGAGCAAAATACCAGTGAGTCAATTAAAGAAGAAAAGAAGAGGACTGTAGACATAAAAAATAAAGAAAAGAAAGCACTCGATAATTCTTCCAAAGAAGATTCTATTCCAAGAGAAGGTTCACGGAGAGAAAAAAGAGTAAAGGAAATCCAATCTAAAAATCTTGAAACATCAACGCAAGAAAAGAAATTCTCTGAAATACCAGCAGTGGATCTACAGAATCAGGAGGAGAATGGAAAACTAGAAATTTCTGTAAAAGACAAAAAAGAAAAGTTGATTAAAAATAGAAGAGAGAGCAGAGGTATTTCTTCAAAAGAACAAAGAGAACAAAGTGAAAATGTAAAAGAATTTTGTCTGAGAGAAAGAAAGACCACAGAGGCAGAAAATATTGAGCATTCTGGGGTAGAGAGAAGATCAGTAGATAAGAGAAAGGGAGAATCTTCACCTGAAGTAAAAACACCTGTACCTGAGAAAATTGAAGAACCTTTCAGAAGAAAAAGAAATAGTTCTGAACCTTCCAAAAAGGCAGACAATGAAAAACCTCAAAGAGACCAAAGATCTGTGGAAAACCAGCAGAAAGATTTAAAAATTCATAAAAGAAGAACAACTAACGCTCTGGTTAAAGATGAACTTTCCCATAGAGAACGAAGGTCAATTTCCCTCAAAGATAATAGTGCATCTCATCTACCCAGAGAAAGGAGAACAATGCAGCCTTCCATAAAAGACGAGAAAGAAAAGCTGGCTCAAGTCGTGGAACACAAATTAGAAAAGGACAATGCTGAAAGTAAAGAAGTTTCTGGGGAAGTTGTTAAAAAACAAGTTTTACATAGAGAAGGAAAAGATAGCCCCGAGGTTCTAGAAAATAAAATAGAATTAAAAGATAGGTTAGGGGAGAACCCACCAACACAGAGTAAGAAAAGGAAAAGACGTCCTAATAAAACTGGATTCCCTACAAAAACCAAGAAGAAGAAACCAAGATTGGAAACAATTGCAGATAAAATAACAAAGTCCACGGAGGACTCTAAACCCGAAAAAATTGTCACCCCTGTAACCCCCGAGGTTGTTGCAAATGTAATATCAATGGATAGAAATGAAAATACTGAGAGCCCTGAAATAGAACAGTTTCAAAACAGAGAAAAGCAATTACAAGTATCAAGGTTCGAGGAGCAAATGGAGTCCTCGCTGTGCAGAGAACTGGAGAATAAATTAGAAACAAAACTTAAGAGAAACTTTGAAACTAGTAACCCGAGTAAGGACAGATCAATAAAGCGATTAAAACTTAGCAAGAAGCCCTGTTCAAACTCTGTAGTCCCGAGCACATCCAGTTCGGTCAACCCTTCTCCATACAGCAGCGATGTAGAGTCAACTGACTCAAGGTTAAACTGGGAGGATGAAAGTGACCAAGATCTATTGAGTGTTCTTCCTCCTTCTGATGAGTCTTTTAGCTCTCCTAATCCAGAGCGGAAAAAGAAGAAGAAAAAAGGAAATATAAGGAAGACCTATCTCAAGGCTGGATTATTTTCTTATGATTATAAATCTGTTGTTAATCAAAACTCAGAGTCTGAAGTTGGAAGCAAGTTGAAAGGAATGATTTATAAACCTGAAGAACATCCTTTCAGCTTACTTCCGCCCCCTTACTACTGTGGAAGACAGCTGAGACAGAAAAAAGAAGATTTTACTCTTCCCTTTGATATTTGGAGTTTATATTCATCTAAAGCTATTCCAACCAGAGATGTTTTGGCAACCTGGAACTATAAACGGATAAAAAACAACATTTATTACGATGTGAAACCTGGCGTAAATTATGAATCTCCTGTGTGTCACTGTAAATTCCCTTCGGATCCAATTTCTCTGGGTTGCACTGACGACTGTATCAACAGAATGACGTACACAGAATGTGATCCCGCTTTCTGTAACCTAGGTGATCGTTGTTCCAACCTAGCCATCCAGAAGCATTTATCACCAGCTGTTGTAGAGAGGTTTATGACAGAAGAGAAGGGTTGGGGAATTCAAACAAAAACTGGAATTCCAGCAGGAACCTTCATCATGGAATACCTGGGAGAGGTGGTTACGGATAAGGAGTTCAAACGGAGAATGCACACTGATTATCAGAAGGATTCCCACCATTACTGCTTACACCTTGGAGAAGGTCTGGTAATAGATGGTCATAGAATGGGTGGAGAATGCAGATTTGTAAACCATAGTTGTAAACCCAATTGTGAGATGCAGAAATGGTTTGTGAATGGGGTTTACAGAATGGGACTTTTCTCTTTAAAACAACTTCAACCAGATGAGGAATTGACTTATGATTACAACTTCTCCCTCTTCAACCCACATGAAGGACAGACATGTCGGTGCGGTATGCCGGAGTGTAGAGGAGTTATCGGAGGAAAAAGTCAGAGAGTCAAAGTTATTCCTAAACTCTCAACTCAGAAGATGTTGAAAAAGGACGAGAAAAAGAAGGATACGGATAAAATTGAGAGAATTTCCAAACCTGTTAGGGTTGAACGACCAGAAAAGGAAATGGGGACTGGAGAGGAGGAGTTAATGAAATCTAGTATCCCTGTTTTAATCCCGGTGAAGGAGATGGATGGTGGAGAAAGGGAGTTCTGTCGGGTTCACAGTGTTCTACTCCCCAGGAATCTGGAGAAAATTAGAAAGTTGAGAGAGAGATATCTCAGCAAGGTCAATCATTCTCAATCTCATTCCACTTCACAATACAAGGATTCTAATATTAGGCCAGAAATAGGCCAGAGCTCTCAGCTCAGGTCTGAGCAAACCAGAAGGAATATCTCAGGTTCCAACATTTCTGATCCGTCTAAACTATCACAACTGGCAACTTGCTTTGCAAATATTCTTTCAAGTTTGCAGAGTTTGGTGGATAAAGACGGAGAAAATATCATTAAATTCTTCAGGAATTTGCCATCAAAGGAACAAATGCCTGAGTATTATCTCACTGTAAGCGAACCTATTGATATTTCCTCTATTGAGAAAACTCTCAACTTCAAACTTTACTCCTCAGTTTCTCAATTCAACCATGATATGTTGCTGCTCTTTCAAAACAACTTCCGATTCTATGGAAATACACATCCAGTCGGGAAAGCTGCACTGACTCTGAGATCTAAGTACCTGAACCTGTGTGGTGAACTTTATAGGAGTTTATCTGAATCTGTCGGCTCTGAGGGAACCGAATATTCTGGAAAAGCAGACTCAGGTGTCCCTGAAGATGAGATAGGATGTCCCTGCAAACAGTACAAAGATGAAGGAGTAATGATCCAATGCGAAAGTTGTAGTGTGTGGCAACATTTAGACTGTGTTCGACCAGGCGTGAACCCTGATACATTAGACAAATACAATTGTGATCTTTGTACTGGAGTTAAACCTAATCTTGATATACCTCTTGTTCCTCAACCTGAGTATGACCCCGGAGAGGTTTATTATGTATCCCTTCAGAGAGAAGACAACTTGCAGGTTACTCTAGGGATGACGGTTTTTGTCCTGCGCGCCTTCAAGGATAAGAACACTCTTGCAGTTGGAGAAAGTGCGGTTGTAACTGACGAGAAGATATTTACCGGACCTGGGGGAGTACCCCACAAATCCATCAGTCCCATCAAGGGCCCTTCAAAAGAGGCGGCCTCTCTAGCCCCTGGCAGCTATCCAACCTACAGAACTGTCGGAGTAAATGCGTCTACTCAGGATATGGATATATTTAGAGTAGAACGTCTCTGGAAAAATAAATCTGGGGCAATGTTTGCCTTTGGGTACCATTATCTCAGGCCTCATGAGACATTTCACGAACCAACCCGTCGTTTCTTTGATAACGAGGTGTTCAGGGTTCCATTGTATGAAGTGCTACCCCTGGACACTATATGGAGAGAATGTTGGGTAATGGATCCGATCAGCTTCTGTCGAGGTCGACCGCTAGCTGCCCAGGAGGAGCATGTTTATATCTGCGAGTACAGAGTGGATAAAACAGCCCGGTTGTTCAACAAGATCTCTAAACCTAAGCATGGTGTTTGCACTAAATACTTTGCGTTCCACAACTTTGATCTACGATTGAGGATTAGCAGAACATTTACAGTAAGTCGTTTTTATTAAAAGTTACTGGAAAACAGCATAAAATGTCAGAATTGTTTTTAAAGGTATTTTTTAGAATATTGGATCTTCAATGTTCTTTATGTAACTTACCTCTAAGACATTTCTCTAGACATTCTTTGCTTTTATCCTGGAGTTTATTTAAATATAGCGGAATGTAGGAGGTTGGGAAGCCTCGTAAAGTACTGAAAATTGAATTTTGAAAGGTTTATGGGAACAGTAGAAAGATAGAGAGAGTATCCAGGGATAAATATAGTTTGGGATAATCCTGCGTAGGACTATGTGCAAATACTACAGAGAAAATAGGAATTCTCAAGTTAGGCTAAGTTGTAAAAGCGAGGACAATTACTTTCTAACTTAAACATCGTTTATTTACTTTCCTGAGGATAAGATGAAGGAGGGGGGGGGGGGAGGTAAATAGTGTGGTTGGAGTGAAAAAAGATGATGAATAAATTGAACTTGGTGGGAAACGTAAACGTAAAGGTTTGTAATTTTAGAATGATAATTTACCAAAACTTTTTGGTTCAGAGCGTTTATATTTTTTCAATACTGGGTTACCCAGAAAGGATGAGACTTCAGAGACGACTGTACAGAGTTTTTATTGTTTGTTTTCTTACAATCACGATTCCCTTCAGCTTTAAAACTGTTTCTTCTTTAGCTAAATCATCAAAAAAGCCATTAAAAAGACCATTTTCAAGGCAGAAGACTTAATTTAACCATGAGATGGTCAAATTTTAATAATTTCTGCTCGTATTTATAGTCTTATATTTTTTGGGTAACCTTGTATATATTTCGAGATGTTTTATATTTGGAATATATAAGTTATATTTGGAATGCTGTTTATTTGTCTTCAGTTTCGTTTCAAAGCAATTTTATTAATTTTGTTTCTTTAATGTCCAATTGTTCCAGTCTCTGAAAATTTCAGTGTTTCTGAAGCCAAGTTATCTAGAGCGTCTGGAAAATAGTTTTTTTCTCCATTGGTTGACGACAATTCTGTATCCAAAGAAATACTTTTTATTGGCACGGATAAAAGTTTAGTGTTTCCTCCTAGTGCTTCTAGAACCAGGGTTTCAATTTACCAACTCTAACACCAGGGGGGATTGGGTTTAGATTTTCAACAGAAATAAAGATCTTTTTTTTTATTCAATTTTTAAACATTTTATTGAGTTTTTTATTTCTTTTGTAAGTCCATGATTTTACTTAAGAGTCCAAAGGATTCCTTTTAATTCTTCTAGATGTAGTGGCGGTTCCTTCTGTTTCTCCTTTCATTTATTTCCAGGTTTTGGTAATTCCTTTATTTCCACACTTCTTTAATCCATATATTTCCAGGCGTTTTATTTAATCCTTATATTTCGTGTGGTTTTATTTAATCCATATATTTCCAGGCGTTTTATTTAATCCTTACATTTCGTGTGGTTTTATTTAATCCATATATTTCCAGGCGTTTTATTTAATCCTTACATTTCGTGTGGTTTTATTTAATCCATATATTTGCAGGGGTTTATCTAATCCTTATATTTCCAGAGGTTTCTTCAATCATTATATTCCCAGGTTTTTTTTTTCAAACCTTTTATTTCCAGTTTTCCAGAGGTTTCTTTTATCCTTGCAGTTCAAGAGGTTTCTTAGTCCTTGTAGTTCCAGAGGTTTATTAGTCCTTGTAATTCAAGAGGTTTCTTTAATCCTTGCAGTTCCAGAGTTTTCTTAGTTCTTGTAGTTCAAGAGGTTTATTTAATCTTTGAATTTCCAGAGGTTTTTTAATCGTTGCAGTTCCAGAGGTTTCTTTGATCCTTGTAGCTCCAGAGGTTTCTTTAATCTTTGTAGTTCCAGATGTTTCTTTGATTCTTGTAGTTCCAGAGTTTTCTTTAATCCTCGTAGCTCCAGAGGTTTCTTTAATCCCCGTAGCTCCAGTGGTTTCTTTAATCCTCGTACCTCCAGAGGTTTCTTTAATTCTTGTAGCACCAGAGGTTCTTTAATCCTCGTAGCTCCAGAGGTTTCTTTAATCCTCTTAGCTCCAGAGGTTCTTTAATCCTTGTAGCTCCAGAGGTTTCTTTAATCCTTGTAGCACCAGAGGTTCTTTAATCCTCGTAGCTCCAGAGGTTTCTTTAATCCATGTAGTTCCAGAGGTTTAACTTCCAGTATAGGATCCTACAATCCTATATAGGATCCTACAATCCTGTATAGGATCCCACAATCCTGTATAGGATCATTCAATCCATTATAGGATTCTACAATCCTGTATAGGATTCTACAAAGTATCCTACTTTCCTCCACAGGATCCTAGGACACTGAAGTCGGAATTCTCTGCAACAGTTGCAAGAATTGGGGATTTAGAGAATTTCCAATATATGATCTCAGCTATTACTTAGTAGGAAATTGATTCCTCTTTCTCTACTTTAGAATTTATATCATATTTATACATTTCTACACAACTTTATATTTATGACAGTGTGTTCTAAAAACAAAGGAATCAAAGAAAACAAGAATGAGAGGAATTTTTCACCAAACCTTCCACCTTCCTTCAGTTACTGTCCTGTATAGAATAAGCAAAGTTTATTTATTGTTTAACTGTAAATTTTAAACCTTCTCATCTAGAATGGCACTGCACGTCAAACTAAAGTAAAATTGAACGTAAGATTGAAATATTATATGTTTTTATAAATCCTCTTATTAAAGAGTTTATGAAAAGAATTTTTTTTCAAATTCTAAGGAATTGAGTCTTTGCCACAAACTCTTATTTTCTAATCTCTATATCTTTTCAACCAATGTCATAGACCTAAGATATTTCAAACTATGAATTCTCCTAGATCAAAAAACCTAAGTTTAAAATATCAAGGGTTTTTGTCCCTCAGGTTAACAAGATATAGAGTTTGTGGAAAAGACTCAATTTCTTTGTAAGTGTAACCGAATAAGTTTGCTTTTCTCATACAAAAATCAAACTTAGAGGAGCTACGAGGCCCCAAAGTCGTAGGAGTGATGTCACAAAATGTTACCTTCTTCTGTCTAGTTTGCAGTGACTGTCCATTGTGAACTAGTAAAATATCTCCTTGGTAAAAAAGAGGTTGGAAGGATTAGTCAGTTTTAATTGGATTATCTTTTGCTGAAAATACAACAGAAATAACAAGGAAACCTGATTAATTGAACATTATTAGGAAAAAGTTTTTAATTAAAAAAATAATGGATTTTGTCTTCTTTCTCTTTCTTTAACAAGCTTGTATTTCACCTAATATGGAAATTTTTTGTTGTTGTTTTACTTTCGTATTCTTTTATCTTCATGCTTTTTCCTGTAGATGCGAATGTTCTGCTGATTTATGATCTCCCAGGACCGAATTTAATGAATTTGAGCTAGATCGCTGAACTACCTACTGCCTCGGTTCAAAGGAGTTTTCTAATCCTCATCTCTTTGTTACCTGATGTTGTAAACCTTTGACATTTCAAACTTGGAGATGTATAAGGTTTGAATAGGTGATTTAGGATTTGAACCGGGTCGTTAAATTCGGTCCTCAGTCTCATTTTTCTTCTCCTGTTTCTATCCTTTTCGTTCTATTGGTGCTTTCTATTATTTGGCATGAATGTAGAATGAAACAGGATAATTTCCTCCACATAAGAGGTTTCTAAAAGAGTTTTCTTGTTAGATTTCTTTTAGAATTAATCCCACTCTCATCTCCTACTCAAACTCATTCTAGTTATGGGATAATACTTATAATCATACAATTACTGAGGTTATTAGACCTAAGTTTTGGTGATTGAAACACTGAATAGATTAGTTTACGACCTAACACCTGTTATAAAATAGATTAGTACAAGTCCTAGTCATATATAGCCTCATATTTAAACCAAAGATTATACTGTTCTTTGAAAATCCCGAAACCCAGGTTCTAATAAGGGGAGAGACAGGTGGGTTGAGGATGTCAACCTGGGGTTACGGTCAACTCAGGTTCTAATAAGGGGAGAGACAGGTGGGTTAAGGATGTCAACCTGGGGTTATAGCCAACTCAGGTCCCCGGAAACCCTTCACCCAGGTTCGCCTACATCCTGGAATCTAGAATAGAACAAACCCTGGGCGGATTTAACAGACGACCCCGAGCGTGTATTAAATGCGTATCGAGAGAAGAAGTACTGATGGGTTAAATTGACTGTGGGCCAGAACACCCCCAGAAATTCCCTTTAATTAGTTAAAAAAATAAATGTACCACTATAACAGGTTTTTGGGAAAGTAGAGAACTTATCTCAAACTCTAATTTTTTGTGCTTATATATTTGAAATTTGATGTCGTAGTCCATTGATATTTGTTCGATTAGTTGTTATTTGAAAAGGTTTGCCTGGCCAAGTTGCAAAGATGTAGGAATTTTTTCAAGTGAATATCTTTTCCAAAATGAAGACATGGTCCTTTCTTCTAGTGGTGATCAGTGTTGTCATTTTTTGTCGCAGGGTGTAAAATTAGAGTTTAAGACACTGATTTTTTTAATATCTTTATTTCAATTCCTCGGAATGAGTTTTAAGTCTTAATTTTAGAAACTGAAAATATTTTCAACTCGGTTATTAGTAGATAGAATTAAGATAGAATAATCAAAACACATTTAAAATTTTAAAGAATGATTATTTTTTAGCCCCACGATGTACCTGAGAAATGGGCAAAGAATACTGGAAAAAGTCGAGATTTTTCAGCAGAGAAAGAACCAAAGAAAAAGAACAAAGAGGAGGGAAAGAAAAGAAAAACAAACAAGATTGAAAAGGTAAGTTTTAAAAAGTTAGTTTTCATGGTCTTGTAGTTTTATTTTCTTTATGAAAATAAAATTATCTTTAAAATGTATTTTTCTCTCATTCGTTATATTTTATTTGCATAATTCAACAGTACTTTTATCTATTTTTTGCTAATCTTCCTTTATTATTGATCTTAAATACTTTAAACTATTTAATCTTGCTCTAAGTGCACTTAAGTTTGCTTTTTTGTTTTATGTTGACCTTTTCCCCAAATATTTTTCTGGAACTGTTGACATTTCTTTAATACAATACTAATCAGATTAATCTGCATGACCTCCCCCCCCCCTTCTTTTCTTTCATCTCTTTTGAGGCCCCCCGCCCCCTGGTTTTATCTTCCTAGAAATCTCTAATTTATTATATGAGAGAACTCCGAGTAAAAGTTTAAACATGAACCCGGCCACGCAAGGATTTTCTCTCAGATATCCTGCCGGAGCTCAGAGTATTGATTTTTTCCTCTTCTCCCAATCTTGGAGTATATGAACATAAAAAGAGATACGTGATATTAAAGAACATAAGATGATAAATTGTGACAAATAAATCGACACCATATCTCTTAATTGAATTTAATTGTTTAACTGGAAAAGCGCTAAGAATGGTTCTATTTCAAAGTTAAAAATATTTTAGAAGAAGTGAGAGTTAAGAGGGTTCAAAACTGAATATCCTTGAATATACTAATTATTATTTTCAATTTAGGAGAGAAGGAAAGGTTCTCTATCCCAGCTCCTGGTGAACCTACTCACCAACCAGGCCGATACAAACCCGACAGATGCTTCCTACCTGCTCCGGAGATTGGAGAGTAAACCTGAGCCTGAACCTGAACCTGAACCTGAACCTGAACCCGAACCTGAGGAGAACGGAATGATGCATGGGAGAAGGCGGGCGAGGGATGAACTCGTGGATAAACAAGAGGAGAGAGGGAAAGGGATGAGGAGTAAAGGTCGGAAAAGTCCTAACCCTGATTCAAAAGAGAAGAAAACTAAACCCGAGAGAACCAGTTTAATCCTGGTCAACCTTCGAGATGAGACCAGGCTAGACGAAGGTTCTTTGGAAGAATTGGAAGTATTGAAATAATATTTTTAACCTAAAATCTACAAAATTCAATCTCTTAAATAGATGTTATCTATTCCATATGCTAAAGATAAATCTATTCATTTGTATATATTTTACATTAATTCATTTATTTGCCTCGTTTGCCTTATTTTACATTATTTGAGAATTTTTTACAAATTGTTCCTTTTTTGGAATTGTTTCTATCTGTGATTATAATCCCATGATTGTACTTAATTTGATGAATTGTTTATTACTGGCCTAGTTTTACACATATACAAGGTTGTGTTGTCGCCTAGCGATACTTTTAGATCTGTTTTCGTTTTACCCACATGTACTTTATTTGTACCCAAACTTGCCTTTTTTTCAACTATCTAAATATTATATATGTTTGTATATTCAAGATTTTATCAACTCTTTGTTTTATTACCTTCTACACAATTTAATGTTTTTGGTTTTGGCAGCTGAAAAATTATTTTTTGTCAAGTTGTTAGATTTGAGTTGAAAACTTTGCAACGTTTTAGCATTTTCTGCGAGTTCATATTTTATTCAAACTTGACTTCAATCTTAGATTTCATTTTCCTATTGAACTGTTTCATGTCGTAAGATGGTATTTTATGAAGGTTTTTACAGAGCTCCACTGTCAAATCTCTTCAGAGAAAACCTACTTTGAAAGGTTTTTATTGTTTTTTTCTCGTTCAGGATTTGGAGCGGAGATATAAACATTTTTATTCTTTAAAAACAAAAGTTGGCTTTTAACGGTTTTAATGCTAAACAAAATTCAAGAAAATGTACTCTAACCTGCATAATATTTCAAGGGTTTTAGTACTTGTATAATGGAAATATTTAGTTGTAAAGAAACATGCTATCATTCAATGCAAACCTTTGTTTGGGTTCATATTGATAAAATTGAATTTTATATTTATGATCCTAGCACAAGTCCCAGTCTCCCCAGTGTCGTTTATTGTTATGTTTTAAATAATTATTGGTTCAGAGCTATGAGCAAGAGAATTGGGGTTTTTGACATTCTCATTTTAATATATCATAAAACTCAAGTGAAAATTGTTTGTTTTTTTCTGGTATGATTTTTATATCCAACACCCAACTCCGATTAAGACCTTGAGAATATAAAACCCCAAGGTTGTTGCTTGCCGCTACTACTAGTACTTAAATCTAGTTCTCCTCCCAGTATCTGACTCTTTACGTCAAAAAACTAAAATAACCATATTGTAAAAATTTAGAGTTTTAAGTAATATATAATTGTAAAAACTATTTTTGATAGAAGAGAAGAGAAGAGATCAATTTGATGACTAAAGAAGTAGAATCGATAACAATTTAGATAAATATGTCAAGAAATTTCTTATATTGTAAAATCTTATATTGGTTCAAAAGAAGAAGTGGAAAGTTCAAGAATTTTTCTCTTTTTATTCTCGAGAAGCCGTTGATCCGAACACTTTTTTACTATCTTCAATCAAACGTAAATTTAGTAACAACTTAAAGTGAGCAACTGATGATAGGTGTTAGTTAAGTTTATCTATGTAGATCATAGAAGTTATACAATCTATTCATAGTCATACCTTTTCCGTAATCAAAACCAGATTTTCACATTTTATTTAAGTATATTTTTTCTTTTGAAAAAATTCAGCATTTTTAATATACAAACTTCAACGATAAATTTTTACAATTTAAGTCCTAAAAATTAATAAAGTTAAAAGATTAAGTCTCCCAGACTCGAAAGTCGAGTTAAAGCAGGAATAAGTCGTTTAACATGAAAATCGGTGTGCCGCGCGGCGGGAGTGTAATCTTCCCGACTCCAGAATCTTGATGTATATAATTCTTGATGAAGAATAAATTAATTTATTTTGTATTAATTCCTAGGATTACATTAAATAACTAATCTACATAATAAGAATTCATAACATGTTGTCTAAAGGATTTCATCTTGGAGGATTATATTTATAAGATTATCATGAAACACGATATACAGGGTGTTTCTATCCCCTTGCTGCGGTAGGTTAACCGTGTCATTCCTATCCCCTGCCTTGTCCTGCTCTGCTTTCTTCTCTTCTCTTTCCTCAGATAGCTTCCTCTCTTTTATCCATTTATTAACAACCTTAAACAGGGGTACATTTTTAAGAAATTAAAATTGGAGGACTAAGCTAGTTGGGGGAACAGATTTTAAAATTTTTTTTTCTGTGGAAGGGGGGGAGGTGGTTAGGAAAAAGTGGAAATTGATTGGCAAGATTTTTCCCTGTTTTTATCATAATAATTTAAATCATTAATAACCCAAAAATGAGTTTATTTTTTATCACATGTATAATTTATTTTCTCCAATTTGGGAAAAATATATACCCGTAACCCTTGACCTAAAAACAAGAAAAGTAGAAAGAGGAAACGCGATTAGTCCCCTCAAATTATAGTTTACTTTATCCTATTTCTTTGCAACTCATTCAGGTGTAAACCTTAGATATTTTAAACTAATATATTTGATTTAGCAGTATTCATAGTTTAAAATATTAAAGGGCGACGACATTAGGTTGAAAACATATAAAAATTTGAACATTTGGCTGCTTAAAGCTTAAAATCTCAGAACATTAGTAAAATATCTTCTGACAGTCTAATAATCTAGAACTTGTACATATAATATCTCAGATCATTAGTAAAATATCTTCTGACAATCTAATAATCTAGAACTTGTACATATAATATCTCAGAACATTAGTAAAATATCTTCTGACAATCTAATAATCTAGAACTTGTACATATAATATCTCAGATCATTAGTAAAATATCTTCCCCCCAGTTATAAATTAATTTAGTTGGAAATTGCAGAAAAATTATGTTTGTTGTTAAGAACGATAAAAATTAACTAATGGACTACTGAATGTAGAGAAAGATGTTTTTTAACGTTTTTTTATTAATGAAAATTACCAACTGCGGTTTGTAAGTACACTTAAAATTAAACAGTTTAAATATAAATATTGTTTTATTGCAAGATTTATTGAAGCTATCGGGTCAGTTCATTTGAAATCAGCCAATTTTTTCCAAAAGTCAGTATGCACTAATCATCAATTTTTTTCAAACTTTTATTCGGAATGACCCTGTAATAGTTTTTTTTTGTTTAACCATATGGCTTAAAAAAATCTCCTTAATCTTGATCTTGGTATAAATGTTTAATTTTTTAATAATGAAAGGCAATCTTGCCAAAAAAAACAGTCACTTGCAAGTTCAACAACGTTGAAAGTACCCCTCCTTTTTTTAAAGTAATATATAAGCTTAATATATTTGTAGCTTGACTTTGATGGCAAACATTACATATACATCTTACAAAATAGTTCTTTTTAATAAAACTAAATTCTCATAATAGAAAACCCTAAAAACCCTCATATTTGATATCTCTGTATCTTATATTTTATTGAATATATGTAAATGATACCGTCGCTGTATGTTCAGACCATGAAAAGTTATATTCTATGTAAATCTGAGTTGATAACATTTACCAGAGTTTGCTATACTTCCCAAAATACGGAGAAACTTAGAAATAATAGGAAACCTTGGATTCAAACATTCAAGTTAATACAAGATTTTCAGGATTGGAATCTTTTTGTTTTATAAAGTGAAAATCTATTTTGTATTTAAAGTGATTGTAGATCCAGATTGGAAGTATTTTCAGTTGTGGTTTCTGCAAAAAGTGGCCGCGGCATTATTCTAAAAAAAACAATGGAGGAAGTTTTTAGAAAGCCGAACACTGTTCAAGCTAGAAAAACGACGTTATCTTCCACATCTTATAGCTTGTTATGGAACTGAGTAATTGTCCCAAACTCTGATTATCAAACTCCTTAATCTTTGTAACCTGATGGTGTAAACCTTTAATATTTCAAACTTAGATTATGTTAGCTAACAGAAATTCAAGTTTGAATTATCTAAGGTCTAGGACGTTGGGATGCAAGGATATAGGAATTAGAAAATAAGAGTTTGTGGCAAAAATTCAATTCCTTTATAAAGGAGCTTTGATTTTGCTACAAAAAAAAATTTTCTAATCTCTATATCTGTGCAACCTGGTGGTGTAAATGTTTATTATTCAAACGAAGAATATTTGATCTAACAGAATTCATAGTTTAAAATATCAAATGTCTTTGACATTGGATTGCAAAGATATAGGGATTCAAAAATACGAGTTTGTGACAAAAGCTCAGTGTCTTTGATGGTTGCATCAGAGAAAAATTGTATCGCTGATGCCAAGAAATAAAATGATTAAAGATAAGTATTTAGTTCATTACACATTAGTATTTCCAGGGTTTCCAATGTTTTGCTCTAGAAGACAGTGAAGTTTCCTGGTTTAGATTAGAACTAGAATTATATTCTTTAAGTATCCTAGAAAACCTACTAACAGTCGTCCTTGTGTTCAGTTCGTCCTGGGAGTCCCGGCTCTGATTATTTTCGTCCCTATCTCCGGTTTCTGTGTGAGTAGTCTCTAATAGCCCATCCGAGCAGAGTTTTTTATAGTCTATGTTTCCGCTCGGCAAATTTTCTAGAGGTATGATTGAGACATTTGGCAAGGATCGTGTTTGTCTTCGTCTTTTTATCCTAGTTATCTCAGGATCATTCCTACAGATTTTAGAGGAGGAGAAACTGGATGAATTTACAAAATTGGCTCCGATGGGAGAACATTTTGAAACTTTAGTTCGACAAGATTCCACTTTTCCTACAGTTGGATAAATTCTATTTTCTCCGACAGATCTTTTCTTGAGAAGAGAGGGTTGGGTTTCTCTTAACGTGAGATTTTTGCTTCTTTCACGGATTTTCTTAAGGATTTTTAAATGTGTTTTCGTGAGCTGCTGGGCAGAGGGTTGTTTATCATGTGTTGTTGGTGGGTAGAACTGCTGTTGCTGTGATGAACAAATCTCAGAGTTTGGGTCCTCATGTTGATGATTTGAACTATGTGGTTGTGTCTGCTGTAAATTAGAAAGCTGTGGTTGTGAATTTTCTCGATCAGAATTCTGTAGCTGTAAACATCCTGCTTCTAATTGCAGTTGAATTAGCTCCGAATGAGAGCTTGAATTTTGTTGATGCTGTGTAGAAAGTTGTGGTTGCGGCTGGTTATGTTGTGGTGGAGATAGGACAGAGTTACCCGTTACCTGTGAGTCGTGTTGTTGATAATACTGTGGTGGTTGTGGTGTCGAATGTTTATTAAGTTGTTGAGGTTGAAAAGAAGGTTTTGTTCCCAGCTTGAGAGTCATTAATCCTGTCATTGTATCTCCGGGGTAACTTCTAATAAATGGTTCAGAGTCACAATTTATTTCTCCGCCAGTTTTAGAGCTCCGATAAATACTAGGAGTAAGGTTGGAACTTTCTAAATATAAAGAAGGGTTATGGTTATCTAATACTTGTGCTGGGTCGGACAGGATGAGATTTGAACTAGCAATGTTTTCCAGTAACCTTTCATTAAGGGCGGGAATCTGCTTTTCTTGAGAAACATCAAGAAAGTTTTGCATGTTTTCAAGTTGAACGAGATTTCTCCAATCTTGGGGATTAGGCTGAAAACTTAAATCCGGATTTAGGATGGTTTCAGTTTCGTTATCTGACAGGCTTTCTAGGTTTGGAGGTGTTTCCTGCTGGGGGCTTTTGTAAAGTTTCCTGGTTTTTGAGCGATTTGGAACTGGAGTCATCCGTTGGAGACTCTTCTCCAGGTTCTCCGGTCTTGTTCTGACCGGTTTCTTCTGCAGGTTCGGTGGCAAGGGTGGATACTCCAGGGTTATCTTCGTTCTTTTTTCCTGAGTCGGGTTTATTCTGGCTCCGTCCTTAATAAAATATGCATTCTCAGTTTCAAACCTTTCAAGTTTTAAGAGAGTTTTAAAGATTTTTCAATGTTCTGTGAAAACTGAATTTTGACACATATGATTTTATACCACCAAACAAAGCAATGATGCTAGTTTAATAATTTAAAAAAGAACTCTGCAATTGAAAAATATATAAATCATAATAAACATTACCCTTAGCTTTCTTTCTGGCTTTATGTTTTCTCTGAGATTCCGGTCTGTGCTTCCGTTTCTTGAGTGAGGTTTGTTTGTGGATCTGGAACCTTATATTCAGACAACAGTCCCCTCCTCCCCCCACTGTTTTCATTGGACACAATTGAAAGTAAAAGCCTCATGATTCACTCAATTTCTCTTTTTGTTAACATATAATTACGATGAGTGAAAATGTAAATCATGAGTTGATGTAAGATGAGTAAAGTTGTGTGTATACATGCGTTGATGAAAGATGAGTAAAGTTGAGTGTATACATGAGCTGATGTAAGATGAGTAAAGTTGAGTGTATACATGAGTTGATGTAAGATGAGTAAAGTTGTGTGTATACATGAGTTGATGTAAGATGAGTAAAGTTGTGTGTATACATGAGTTGATGTAAGATGAGTAAAGTTGTGTGTATACATGAGTTTATGTAAGATGAGTAAAGTTGAGTGTTTAGATGAGTTGATGTAAGATGAGTAAAGTTGTGTGTATACATGAGTTGATGTAAGATGAGTAAAGTTGTGTGTATACATGAGTAGATGTAAGATGATTTAAGTTGAGTGTATACATGAGTTTATTTAAGATGAGTAAAGTTGAGTGTTTAGATGAGTTGATGTAAGATGAGTAAAGGTGTGTGTGTATACATGAGTTTATTTAAGATGAGTAAAGTTGAGTGTTCAGATGAGTTGATGTAAGATGAGTAAAGTTGTGTGTATACATGAGTTTATGTGAGATGAGTAAAGTTGTGTGTATACATAAGTTGATGAAAGATGAGTAAAGGTGTGTGTATACATGAGTTGATGTAAGATGAGTAAAGTTGTGTGTATACATGAGTTGATATAAGATGAGTAAAGTTGTGTGTATACAAGAAAATGGGAAAACACTTGAGAAGAAGAATATTATCTGTACAAGACTTAACTACGTCAATATACCATCATAGATTGAAGATTAGCATAGAATGAATAGAGTAAAAACTATTTCTGATATTATAAATAAATATAGTATTCTTTTTATTCCAGCAATTATTTAAAAAGCTTTAAAAGTGCTGGATGAAATTTACCAAATGTATAAGATGCATTACAAATTCAAATACACATACATGAGATAAAGCTAAGGACTGAATATTCCTTGTCAGTTTTTCGTTGTATCGAGGTCTGACGAACCATCACAAGCTTGCTCCGGGAGTCAAGTCTTTCCAAACTAAAAAATAAATTTTCCGTTATTGATCGGCGATCATATCAATGCAAGGAAAAGGGATTTTTATTGATATTGCTTTGATCCCTAACATGCATTTTTTAAATCAAAGAGAAGCTGTTAATTGACAACTTTGCTTTGTTTAAATGTATAAGTGTTCCTGCAGTTTGAAAGCTGGTAGAAATTAAATTGGAAATAAAAAGAGGTCCTTTTTGTATCTATATATATAAAGTTGTAATCTCTGTTTGTCTGTCTGTTTGTTTGTTTGTCCGATCATAATCTAGAAACTTTTGGACCGATATGCCTCAAATTTTGATTGGGGAACTCAGGAGACCCACGGGAATGTTCTTTGCTTGGTTTTAAGTTGAGAGGGTCAACTTTAAAAGAGAAAATTCAGTTTCCCAGAAAATCGTTCAATTGCGGGTAAACGGCGGGTGTAAGGGAGAACCCTGGGCAGCGCTGGGTTCCTAATCTAGTTGATATGGCTGAATTGAGAAGGAATTGTTTTTTTATCACAAACTATTTTGCCCTATTTCTTTGCAACCTGATGGTGTACACATTTGATATTTTAAACTCAGAAGATTTTGTCTAACAGAATTTATAGTTTGAAATGTATACTGTCGACAGCGTTGGATTACAAAGATAAAAAGATATATAGACTCACTTTCTTTGTATCATTTACTCTCAGACAAATTAGAATCAATGGAAATTTAAACCCCCAAGGGATTCAATGATAAACCCGAGAGCGCAGATCATTGAATCCCTTGGGGGTTTAAATTTCCATTGATTCTTATTTGTCTGAGAGTAAATGACATTCCTTTTTAAAAAGCTGGGTTTCAGCTGTGTAAGCATAAATAGAAAATTTCATTGAAACCCGGCGGGATTTTTCATTAAACACTGCATTGAAAAATCTTAGAAATGCGCGAATTTTTTTACAAAATTCACATATTCCAATTTTAAATCAGTCAGTTATCGTTCAGCATTCGACATGAACAGTCGCACTTTTATTATATTAGTATCCAGTATCCACGACAAGATGATCTTAGGGAAATATTTATGAGCCTGGAACAATTTCAAAGGTTTTTACCAAGTTCTCTTTCATTAAACAAGATGGATTAAGTTGAATCAAACTGTGCCTTATAAAAATCTGATAATTTATTCTTCTTCAAATGGTCAGTTCTCCGCTATGAACAAGATTACTGTGATTACTGTGCCTTATAGAAANGTGTACTAGTTAATAAGTCCTGAAACATAATCTGTAAATCGTGTACTAGTTAATAAGTCCTGAAACAATAAATTTTAAACTCGTAAAATTTATGTGAGAGAAAGATTCAAAGATATAAAATAGAAAATGTTCTTAAAAATATTTTTATAGTGTTGGAGAGAAAAAAGCAGGGACGGGCAAGTTTAATAATGTTGCCTAGAATGAAATCACTTTCTGACTGTAATGTTTGTCGTTGTCAAGAGAAGAGTTGTAAAACCATTGAAAACCTGGCGGGATTCAATGGAAACTTTCTTATTTAAAGCAATTTAAATGATTTTAGAGTAGCGGGATTCAATGAAAATTGTTGCATACCAAAAAATCAGCTTTTAATAAAGGAATGGTTTGTTTTCTATACGACTTACCATTTTCTTTGTTTCCCCTTGTTCTTGTTATTGCTACCTAGAGGAGATGTATTCTTAACATTCTCCTTTTCATCTGAATATCAGGATATAAAAATTATTTTAAAACTTGACACTACTTTTCTTAGCGTTATCATTTTGTATGTTAAATAAGGCCCCCTCTTCCATTAGTATTCTAAAATATTATAATCTTTTTCCTAATCCTACCTTCTCCATCTACTGGTATAAAAATCTGATCATTCTTTGATTTTATTTCATCTTCCAGAAGGTTCTGGTGAACCAATGTACCTTCCTCCACCTCAGAATTCTATTTCAGGGGTATATATTTCACAAAAATAATAAAATTAAGTCAGTTGTGGGGTGCTAATTAATAAGTTTTTAATTAGTTGAAAAATTTCAAAAAAAAATTAACTGTTAATGAATCTTTGTTGAATATACCCGAAAATGTCACATTTTTATTTAATTCATGTAATTTCAAGATTTGAATAAAGTTTTTAAACCATCAATGGATGAGTGGGGGGGGGAGGT